CTCTCCGAAGACACAGACACCGAGAGCCCCCGTGAAGACGATGACAGCTACATGATGCCACAACACTGCAAAGACCATAACGGGCTGTGTCAGATGCAGTTATGTCAGAGTGTCCAGACATTCCTCGTGGGAGTTTTTGTGCTTTTTTGTCCCTTCTCAGTGTGCACATGTGAGTTTGATTTGTTAAAAAAAAGAATACACATATTTCATACGTTTCAAAATGAGAAATCAGATAAGGGAAACCGCCTTCTCGTCAAACGAAAAAATGCAGTTCTCAGTCACGGAGGCTGTCGGGTGGTACAGGCTGCATGTTAAAGCTGCTTTTGTCAAATGTTTGCACTGGTTTGGTTCATCCACAACACAAAGACGAGTGAAATCCCTGTACTCACCCACATACATTCCATTCTCTACCCGCTTGAGGATGTCGAAGGCGTTATCCACGTTGCCCTCCAGGATGTCAAACTTGACGTCGTAACTGCCTAAGTGATAGGGCCCGTAAGCCGGCACTGTGGTTCTCAGGAAAACAATCTCTGTTGGAAGATAACAATTAGACACAAAAAGCTTTTGGAGCCTAAACCCTCATAATCACATTGGGATTGCACCGCCAATCCAGTGCCAACTCTTGCTTTTCTTTACTTTTTTTTCTCTCCGAGAGAAAGACAATAAAATGGGAGATGGAAAGGTCTGTGTTTATTGTGCACCGAGAGGGTCACAGGAAGGTTGAGGCTTTTCAATGCTGTTGTTCAGCTGAAGGGCCTCGAGTCCTTTACACCCCAACTCAGAGCTTATGGGAAATGACAAGAGCTTAACTCCCCGTGACATTGAGCATGAGTGTGTCTGAAACATGCACTGCATGCCAGCCAATAGATGCTTGTCAGCTGTCACTGTCTGCGAGTGATTACCGTGGTTACTCATATCCAACCAGCATGGCACTTACTCTCTGGTGTGGGCCAGCCAAGCCCAGGACTGCATGGAGAACATCATGGAATAACTAATTTGGAGGTCAGAGGTAGTCATATGGATTCTGACAACTGCAGGAAAATGCATTTGATGGGAGCTCGGAAATTAAGGAAGATAAAGCAGAGCTAAAGAGAAAAAAAGGCTGAGGGCCGCATTGACACTAAATAAACCACGAGTTATCTTGCAGCCTACAAATTCGTTGTCTCTAAAGATTTTAACAGGCACAAATGAAGCCTCAAATACGGGCCTTTGTGGGTTAGTGAAACTGTAGAGAGTAGAGGGATACACTGAAGAAATATTAGATGAAATGATCTGTAAATTTAAAAAAATTACATTAAAGCAGAAGTTCAACATTTTGGGAAATAAATGTATTTGCTTTCTTGCCAATAGTTAAATTAGAGGATTGATGAGACTCTTATATCTGTGCAGTAAATATGAACCTACAGCCAGCAGCTGGTTAGCTTAGCATAAACACTGAAAACAAAACGAAACAGCTAACCTGTCCAACACTGGGGAGTTGCACTTTGACTGACTGTCCACTTTGGCTTTTATATTAATGATTTAATATGTCAAGTAGTGAGTCCAAGAGAGTCTGGTGCTGTAGGTGAGTCGGGGTCATTCCTATGTTCCCCAGATTTATATGGCACGTAATGGGAACATGACAAATGCTCCTATGTTCCTCAGTTCTACCAGGGTTCTACGTTCCCATGGTCCTGTGTTCCCCAGTTTTATAGAGCACGTCATGGGAACCTGACGAAGATGTTTCCCTGCTCTGTATTCACTATGACATGGGCTAGGGTTAGATAAGTGATCATGATTCTGAGTCATGAAATTGCACTGGACTTGGCCTTAATAGTACATTCTCTACTCTCTGAACTAGTGGGACACTCAAGTACTCTTTTTGAATAAAGAGCAACGCCCAAACATATTTCAGCTCTAAAAATAGGGACTAGTCAACCAATAGATTTACCAATTAAATAGAGGAAGAAAAACAATATATTAAAAGAGACAAATTATTATCAAGCATTTTAGGGTTCAGAAATCAAAAGTAGCTGACTATTGCCATTTCCAAAGATAAGGAAAGGATTAGGATGCGTAGGATCAGGTTAGTTTACTTGAAATGTGAATATTTTCATATATTTTAATTCAAACGGGTTTAATTTGAAACAAAAACAATAGGAGGTTTACTGTGTTTAAACAGATTATTAAACACAAACCTGGTAAACATGGCCCCTGGGAAAATAAGGCCATGGGAACATAGGACCCTGGGAAAATAGGACCTTGGAAACATAGGAATATAGGAACATAAGATCTTGGTAATATAGGGCCTTGGGAACATAGGACCTTGGAAACATAGGAATATAGGAACATAAGACCTTGGTAATATAGGGCCTTGGGAACATAGGACTTTGGAAACATAGGACTTTGGGAACATAGGACCCCGGGAACAAGAAACCTTGGGAGCATAGGACCCTGGGAACAAGAAACCTTGGCAGCATAGGACCTTGGATACATAGGACCTTGAAAACAAAGGAACCTGGATACAATTGGACCTTGGGAACATAGGACCCTGGGAACATAGGGCCCTGGGAACATAGGAACATTGAACATATGACCATGGAACCATGGAAACATAGCACTTTGGGAACATAGGGTACTGCAAACATAGCACCTCAGGAACATAGGGCCATGGGAAACAAATAGGACCCTGGAAACATAGCACCTCGGTAACATAGAACCTTTGGAACATAGGACCCTGGGTACATGGAACTCTGGGGACATAGGACCCTGGGAACATAGGGACTTTGAACATATGACCACGGACCAGGGAATCATAGCACGTTGGGAACATAGGACACTGCAAACATAGCACCTCAGGAACATAGGGCCATGGGAACATAGGACCCTGGGAACATGGGACTCTGGGAACATAGAATCTTTGGAACATAGGACCCTGGGTACATGGGACTCTGGGAACATAGAACCTTTGGAACATAGGACCCTGGGTACATGGAACTCTGGGAACATAGGGCCTTGGGAACATAGGACCCTGGGAACATAGAACCTTGGGAACATAGGACCCTGGGAACATAGAACCTTGGGAACATAGGACCCTGGGAACATAGAACCTTGGGAAGATAGGACCCTGGGAACATAGAACCTTTGGAACATAGGATCCTGGGTACATGGAACTCTGGGAACATAGGACCTTGGGAACATAGGGACTTTGAACATATGACCACGGACCAGGGAATCATAGCATGTTGGGAACAAAGGACACTGCAAACATAGCACCTCAGGAACATAGGGCCATGGGAACATAGGACCTTGGGAACATAGGACCCTGGGTACATGGGACTCTGGGAACATAGCTGTGCGTTCACGCCGAGCACGAATTCGCAAATTCGCGCGTCGAGATTACATACAAAGTCAATGCAAAGACGCGATTAGATGTGAAGTCGCGCCGGGCAGCCACGCTAGATGCGTAGTCGCATCAAAATTCGTGTCTATAGCCTCATCGCTCGAGTTGAAAATATTGAACTTTTGAGGTGAATTCGCGTGACGCTGTGCCGCGAAAGCCAATCAGTGTTGAGATTCTCCCGACGTCACTGAAGTCAGTGACGTCTTGACGCCCTGACGTCCAGTTGTTGACACAACAAACTGCTACTCACCGGAGACAGATGGACAGGCGCTCCACAAATGAAATGGAGCGCCTGTAGCTGGTGTCCTGCCAGGAGATCCTGGCGCCAACCCTCACCAACAGGTCCTCACACTGGGCCCCAGTCAGCCTGAAGTACCGCTGAAAGCGGCTATCATCCAGACAGAGTTCCTGGAGGAGGTGGTGAAAGTTGCAGAGCTTGATGTGCTTCTGCAGGATAGGGTGAACCCCAAAACGACGGCGTTTGGCCCTCCGACGCATCTGGGACTTCCAGAGCAGGTACAAAGCAGCGATGTTGGTTATCTCAGCCATGGTTGAGGAGAGAATGGCTGTTATCTAGTGAAAATGGGCGGGCTCGCTACTTGCGCGACTGATGCGATAACGCAAATGAACAAAATGGTCCGGCGTCCAAACTCATGCGTTACACGTGTTACATGTGAGTGATTTGCTTCACTCGCGCCCGGTGTGAACGCACAGTAGAACCCTGGGTACATGGGACTCTGGGAACATAGAACCTTTGGAACATAGGACCCTGGGTACATGGGACTCTGGGAACATAGAACCTTTGGAACATAGGACCCTGGGTACATGGGACCCTGGGAACATAGGACCCTGGGAACATAGAATCTTGGGAACATAAGACCCTGGGAACATAGGACCTTTGGGACATAGGACCCTGGGAACATAGGGCCTTGGGAACATAGGACCCTGGGAACATAGGACCTTTGGAACATAGGACCATGGGAACATAGGACCTTGGGAATATAAGACCCTGGTAACATAGCACCTTAGAATCATAGAGCCTTGGTAACATAGGAACCTAGGAACATAGGGCCTTGGGAAAAATAGATCCCTGGGAACATAGATACACTCCCAGTGAGTTTTATTAACTGTGGACAGAACAAGGTCAGCCGTTTCCCCGTTTCCAGTCTTTATTCTATGCTAACTAGCTGACAGCTAGAGTTTTGTAATTACTTATAAATATTAGAATGTTATCAATCATCTCATCTAAGTTGGCAAAACAGGGAAAAGCGCTTTTCCCAAAAATGTCAAGCTGTTCTGTTAAGACTTGTTCTTTCCCAATGAACTTTGCATTACATATCATTTTGTTTTTACACTTCTTCTGCATGTTTGCCCATCTGGATCACTCCAGAACTTTCCATCATTAGTATAGACATAAAAAATGAACTTGCACCTACCCTCTGGCCTTGTGAACTCTCTGAAGGTGGGCAAGGAGATGAAGGTGTGGGATATTGAGTGCATGGGGTCCAGAACACAAGCAACGTCATTGGGCTGACAGGACTTTACACAGCGAATGGTGTCAGAGCGTTGAAGCCTCGCCACTCTACAGGACAGAGCAAACGTAGACACCCACAAAAAAGGGGAAAAAAAGAAAACACACACACACATACACACACACACACACACACACACACACACACACACGGCCTATGACCTTTAGGTAATGTCTATATAAAGACTTCACCATCAACCGCCTTTGGTTTCTGAAGCTCACAATAACAGGGCATCCTTGGGAGCAGCCCACTGCGTAATCAGAACCCAGTGGGACAACTCCAATGGCTGCTACACAAACAATATCTGAACAAGACAGCGGGGACACTGGATATAGCAGTCAACATCAAAAACAATCAAATTCTGTGTGGCTTGGAAGAATAATAAACCAACAATGGCCTCAGCTCATGCAGCAGCCAACCTTTGTAGCTTGCCTTGTGGAGACTAGCGCTGCCATTGATGCTTTTCTGATGCACTATTTCAAGCTGTGTGGGAAATGAATTACTACACTCACAGAGAATGATCCACAACCTGCTCAGGAAAAATATTTGGATTTGCTGAGCATCCCCGGCTTCACATCAGATAATCTCTTGAGGAGGATTTATGGGGCAAGGGAGTGTTCTAAAAGACTCCTAAATTGTGAGCAACATGACTAGACAACTCCCCAGCCTCTCCCCAGGGCAGCTCTCATCCTATTATTTAGGGCTTTGTTTATTCCACAGACTAATCAGTGACAGGTCGGAGGGAATGGAGGGCCTCTGCTGGCTCCTAAGGCTAACGCCACCTGAAGTATCGCTATTCACTACCTGTCTGCGGCGTAAGACTTTGAGAGAGGTTTCTAAAGCACTAACAACCTCATAAATCAGGAGTTTGTCTTTGAAACGACGAGGAACTTGTGATCATGAAAGAGCTATTGAAACAAAATAAAAGCCTCCACTTTGACATCCAAGATGTTAAATTTAAGCTCGGTTTTTCACAAAGGAGACAAGTCAGTACACGGTTATATTGGGTTATGAAAACAGCCAAGTTGCCATGTATAAGTCCAGTTAATGTGCATGGCAGCCGTATAGCCACATCGTGAGTCATGGGCCGTGGATCTCTGGCGCTCCTCAGGGGACCTATAGGCTGCAGCTCAAAGCCTGGGCCCGGCTTGGGTTGCAGGGCTCCTTTCACGGAGAGCGAGGAGAGAAGCCCCTGACAAAAAGTCAAGCCACCACTGGGTAGGGGCTTGTAATTAGCAATTAGCGGGTGGGTCCAAGTTTTGCTTTGGCCCACGCCAAACCCACAAAATGTTCTCCTAGTTTATAATACCACGGCCTGAGCTGCAGAAAGACCCGAGCGGGGCTCTAGAGGACGAGGTGAAAGCTCTGTTGAGGTAGAGAGTAAATTTACGAGAAGATAATGACCCAGGGTGAACTGCCCCCTTTACACACAGACGGACACTTCAAAGCAAAGGCAGCAAGTGGACCTAATTACAGCTCCATGTGTGTGCCAATGCATGTACGTGTCTGCACCAAAACTACCTATATGTGCGTCTATGTGTTTATTTGTGCATGTGAGCCTTTGTGCATGCAAACATGCTTGTGTATATGTGACTGTGTGCGCGCGTGCATGCAGAAATGTACGTCTTCTTCATCTCCCCATGCCTCACGTGGCCCAGCCCAGGAGAAAAACCCCAATACTTTCAGACCAGAAAGAAAAACAGACTTTTTGGATGAAAGTCCTCTGGTCAAGCGTATGGGGCCTTTTATTTTTTTGGTAATTATTATTTATAGTCGGCACATTGATAACGCCCCAACACAAACACTGCAGGGCATCATTCATTCTGTGCGCGGTGATGTTGCTGCACCACAAATTGTTCAGACCACCAGCCAGAGCCCAGAGCCCCATAACTCAATGTCAAAGGGGAAGAAAAAACCTTATGCGCACCACTATGTTCTTATTTTAAGGATATCCCCACTAGGGACCAAGTGCATCCTTACTGGCCTGACAGCTAAGGACAGGAGGAACCTAGGACATCTGAATTTACAGTTATTATAAGCCACAGCCCTCGGGCAGCAGCCTCACAGCACGTCAAACTATTTATACTCTCTCCTGCTGGTGCACATTTCCCTCTCCTTTGCCACTGCATCCCATCGCGTGTCACTTACTCAGCCTTCATTTGGATTATCTGTCTGCTTTGGGGTTTACACCCGCAGTATGCAGTGGAAATCTGTGCATTTCACATTAAGCCTGAAATGTAATGGGAGCTAAAGAGATGTGCATGAAAATAGCTGCCAGAGAAAGACGTATTTGCGGTGCAAGGTAACTGATGTTTGGGAAGTGGGAGTAACAATACAGTAATCGGCCCAGTCTGGCTCTTTTCTGAATGGAATTTGGAGGTGTGGAATTACTTTATGGACTTAATAAATAGTGGAAATTGACATAGATGAAAACTTGTGTGTGTTTCAAAGCCTATTTAAAAATACAGGTCTGGTTCACTTCTGTGTTCATGAACATTACTAATGCAGGAAACTTTTAAAACATAATAAAATCATTAAATAAATCAGTAATTATCTAGAGCTGGTGTGTTTATTAAAATAACTTGTGTATGTATTTTTGTAGATAATCAACCCTTTTTTTTTAATCAGATCACAAAACATACTTTGACTTTAAATATTTGCATCACTAGAGATTTGCATGTGTCAATGGACTTCCTCTTCACTGAAGCTGTTGGAATAATAGTAACATGAAACTATGTGAGGAAGTCTTCTTGCCTCCATCTGTGATTTGGCCTCACATTCCAGCTGCTCCCTTCACTGTATTTGATTAAAGCCCACAATGCACCATTATCAAGAACTGGATTTGACTTGAACATGTGTTATTTCTATTTCAATTTTAATAGAAAACTGTTCATCCAACACATAAACCATAAAATACTGCAAAACGTCAGACTTTATCATGCAACCATCATCAGATTACACTCAGTTGTAGGCAAACTTGGGTCGTTACCATTTCATCATTTACCCTGACCTAGGACGCCACCTAGCGGCTATCACGGTGCCATACCTCCAAGAAGATACATTCAGTTGGACCTAGTTTGCACTGCTCAATCATTATTCTTAATTCTAGTAGTAAAAACTGATTATGCAAAATGCTACAGTACTAAGAAACTGTGCTTCTTTCTCCTGATTTTGTGTTGTTTTGTTTCATATCCACTCTCAAAAAAGGGTGTGTCATCTTAACACTTGTTTTGTGTCGAACAGAGTCATATCTGTGGTGATTTATAGCAAAATAAAAGATGAAATAGACAAGGCTGGACAAATAGTCTGACAGAGGGGGCAGCTGCCTCACAGTACTAGATGATCAGTGCCTGTGAAAGCTGCAGAGTCACTAGCTGGGTCTCCATGCAAATATAGTGCAAGTTTTAACAAAACTGAGAACATCTGCAAAGGAAAATGCAGGTTTATATGGTTTGCCATCCACTACTGTTTTTGGGAGATGATTCAATAATAACAATACTTTTCAAATCAGATGCTAATGCAGAACAAGGTGCAACGAGATGATGGAATTAAAGAAAGAATTATTAAGTCAGACTTCACACAAAGGAAAACAATGGATGTATAATAATGGGCAGCACACTGGACAATGGGAATAGAATTCTAGAAACAGCTGTGTGTTCTTAGAAGAGTTCTGGCAACAGCACTGTGTGGATAAGTGTGTTAAAAGCCATCCAGAGATGATTTAGAGAGCTTGTAGTGGTCTATGCAATGACGGTACACCATGACTGCATGTCATCATTTATTTGCTCAATCTCCCCCAGGTGTAAACATATTTTTGTAAAATTTTTGGAGGGAATTTTTGTTGTTTCCACTCTGTTTTTTTAAACTGTGCAAATTTATAAATGCACATAAAAACAGGTGGGTGGAATCACATCAACTGTGCCTGTTGGTTTGTAGTAATTTGATGCATTGAAAAATGGTGAACAGGAATGGTGTGACATTTTAGGAAATGCACTTAAAAAACTACTCACTTTTCTGTCAAAGTCAACATTGTTAAATGAAATTGTTTTTATAGAGGACAGGATGATGCACAGATACTGTATAAAGGGCGACAGGGGTCGTTAGCAGGGCAGTCCATAAGGGGGGAAAAAAGGTGAAAACTTTCGAGCCCCCGTCCGCTACAGCAAGGACAAAGCCTTTTTATGTGGGGCACCTGCTCTACCAGGTGAGCTCCTGGATGCCCCGAGTATGTGCTATTTTGAAGCCTGGTTCATTCTAAAAACCCCTCTCCTGAAAATGGTATGCAGTTTTTTGTTTTTTCTTTTGTATGCAACTGTTGCAAAAAAGTGGACTGCACATGAGCACACAAATGCATCGATACGAGTGAAGCAGATTTGGGGAGAGCCCACAACTGGAGCTTTTCAGGGGATAAGCCAGTTCTGTGGATGGGACTATTTGTTAGGGGCCCACAGCTCATTTCTGCTCTGGGGCCCCAAGCCAGTTGATTCAGCCATTAGTTTGGGCACATTTTTAGGCAGGCCTTACTCTAATCACACAAATCTATGAATGAAAGAAAATGATTTTTGATTATAACAATGAATTTTTAGTAACTGGAAATCCTAATTTTTATTTATATCTACGCAGAATGTAACATACAGTAGTCTGCATCACCATGCTTCGCTTTGAACATACTGTGACGTTATCTCGCAGTGTTGCGGATGATTTTTTTCTGTTAACTCTACGACACAGTGCATTTAAAATGACACATCCTTTTTAAGAGTGTATTAACTTGTGACCCTGTGTAACTTTAGTGTTTTATTCTAGTAGGGGATTGTAAGGTACTCTGGGCTCCTCCTGGGTAACAAACACCAGCACTTTAGCCAGGTACGTGCTGAGCGTGCCGTAGCGACGCAGCCTTAGCTCCAGAGATAGATCGAAGTCCTGCGGCTTGTTGATGAGCTTTGCCACCGACATGACGCCGCCAGTGGCCACCTGCTCCGTCTTGAAGAAACCGCCCTCGTTGCCAGAGGTGATAGCGATCTGGATGTCGTCGCCGGCCACGGTGTGGGAGGGGCCCATGCGGAAGATGTTGGTGAAGACGGGGATGTTGGTGGGGAAGGTGAGGTAGTAGTAGGTTATTCTCAGGGGCATGGCCAGGCACTCGACAGACTCATTGCAAAGCAAGCGTTCACATCGACTGCAAAGAGAGAAAGGGTATGGGAAGGGGCGGGGGCGGGGGCAGGATGGGACAAGACAGAACAAAACAGGCACAGGGAGAAGGAGAGAGAGACCAGGTGTAAATTTAATTTGCCGTGCATGGCATGCAGTGGGAGAAACATCAGTCTCTGCAGCGTAAACCTTCACAGGCCAGTCACGGTGCCCTCTGTGGGATCATGCAAGAGTCACTGGTGCCTCCATAACAGGGTGGTCATACACAGCCTCTATTGTAGCCACTGAGCAAATATCCATATGCATTTCATCATTATAAAACAACAGAACATGCTACAGCCAAAATCTTTTCTCAAGTCATTCCAGCATGGAGCATACTGGACATGCACAGCCTTGAATACCATCTCAATCAGGGGCAGTTTAAAAGGCCTGACATCATTTACCAGTAGGATAACCACTCAAACTTGACTGTGAATCAGACCTTGCTGTGTGAGTGTTTTTGTGTCAATGTTTGCATTATTTATGTCTGTCTATTGATGATAATATTGCTGGGAGAGCAGAGGACAATGTGTCCCATTAAGCAACAGTCACTACATTTACATGCACACTAATATTCACCAATATTCTGATTTTTATTACAGGTCATGTAAACAGCATATTACATTTAAATATTTCTATATTAGGCCTTGTTCTGATTGTAGCATTTTCCGATTAAGACGTGGGATATTTCGGTATTATTCAGGTTTTAAAAGCATTCTTTCGGTGTGTGTACAACACATTCGGACTATGCATTTTAAGTTGGGTTTTTACTGCAGTTTGTGACATATAACCTCTTGTCTCTTGCCTTTTTACAGTCAGCTCTGGGCGTTAGACTTTGATATCAACATAGATACATGGAAATACTGCATTCAAGAAGGTGGTTGAAGGAATAAAAGGAGGTTGTTTTTTAACAGTACAACAAGTCCGCCATTTTGATGCAAAGAAGCAAAATGACAAACGGCTCCAGCCACTTTTCTACGTCTTAACGTGATTACAACATGTTAAGGCAAGTTAATCAGAGTATGTGTGGCTGCATGTAAACAGGAATATGAGTGTAACATTTGTTATCATTAGCCATGTATTTTGGAATACGAGTAAAAAACTGTATATTTTGTGCATGTAAACATAGTCAACATGCACCCAGTCCAGATACTCACGTCTCTCCAACGCGCCGGTAGTTGTTTGGACAGTCGAAGGACAGGCATCTGAATCCTCCCTGTACATTAAAGCAGCTCTGATTCTCCGCGCACGTGTGTGTTCCTGTCACACATTCATCAATATCTGGGAGTGAAAGGACAAAAAGTGGATTTATATTTTTTATAAAGCCCAATATCACAAATCACTTTACAGATGGATTTCTAATGATGTTACCTAAAGGAAGCATATATAGAGTAAATAGGATTGGTCCGAGCACAGAACCTCGCAGAACTCCAAAACAAACTTTGGTACGTAAGGATGATTCATTATGAACGTCAACAGACTGAAAATGATCAGATAAATAAGATTTAAACCAGCTTAGTGCAGAACCTTTTAGGTCAATTAAGTGATCCAGTCTCTGTAGCAGAATTTGATGGTCAATTGTGTCAAACGCCGCACTAAGATCTAATAAAACAAGAACAGAGACGAGTCCTTTGTCTGAAGCAATCAGAAGGTCATTTGTAATTTTAACTAGTGCTGTCTCAGTGCTATGATGCACTCTAAATCCTGACTGAAATTCCTCAAATAAATTATTATCATGGAGAAAATCACACAGCTGGTCTGCGACTACTTTCTCAAGGATCTCTGAAAGAAAGGGAAGATTAGATATTGGTCTATAGTTGGCTAACACCTCTGGATCCAGGGTGGGCTTTTTTAGTAGAGGTTTAATTACAGCTACCTTAAAAGACTGTGGTACATAGCCTGTTAATAGGGATATATTGATCATATCTAATATATGAGTGTTAACTAAAGGAAAGACCTCCTTAAGTAGCCTAGTTGGGATGGGGTCTAAGAGACACGTTGATGATTTAGATGAAGAAATCACTGCAGTCAATTCTTGAAGAGAAATCGGGGAAAAGCAATCTAAATATATATTAGGTCTTACAGCTGTGTTCATCATCTATTCATTCCAAATAAAACTACCTCTATATAATACATATGGCATGGTTTTTGGTAGTAAAAAAATAACGTATCCTGTGAGCCTGCAACTTTCGTGTAGGATAGCTTACCCTGGCAGCTGCGGCCGTTGGGTGCCAAGGTGTAGCCATTGACAGGACAGGAACAGTGGAAGCTGCCGGGGGTGTTGTGACAGCGATAGGAGCAAATATGACCTCCAGTGGGCAGGGCACACTCATCTATATCTAAAAATGTCACAGTGACAGATAAAAACAAGTCAAACCAGAGAGCAGATAGAAGAAATATATATTCTAACTGCTTATGATTGATCTGTTTCATTTGCTTTACTGAATGCTAACGCATGAATAGATTCTCCGTAGCAGATTTTAGCTCAGTAGTACCACACATCCTCAAAGTACCTGTTGAAACGGTTCCACTTTACCTTCACAAGTCATTCCATCTATGTCACTGAGCTGGTAACCACGGCGACAGTAACACTGGTAGGAGCCGTACACGTTGGCACACTCTTGGCTACATGGGTTGCTCTCACACTCATTCAAATCTACAGAGAGGAAAAAGTAACAGACCTTTTAAGAATGCATGATTTCAAGGGCCTGAAGTGTGGGATTTCTCCCCCAAAAGTAGCTACCAATTGTTATTTTTAGTTTATATTTTTACTAGAATGTCTGGGGAAATATTTTTGGTCTAATAAAGTACAGTTGGGTATTTGTGAAGTCAACTACTGAATGCCTGTCTCCATTTTTCGATGAATGTTGGACTGTGAAAACACCAGGGACATCAATGGAAATATGTCTGCACTGGGTGGCACCAGCTATGTGTAAATTCAAACGTAGCCTCGTTTGATTGATTCTCTAATTAAGATTACATACTACTAACATTTTAAGGGTTGCACCAGCTGACATAATTTCACTGTATGCAAAGTTAGAACATAAACTTTAGAGGTATACTGTGCAGGACACGCTCGCCAGTAAATCTGACGGTAAAAGCCAACTCCAGATTCACTCTGGTTTGACGTTTCGCTTCGCTATATTAATGTTGTTTTAGCGATGTGTGTCTTGGACGCCTGTTAATTACAGTCTGGCACCTGGTCACTACCTTTTTATAGAGCCCTGACCTCAATTGAGTGCTGTGGGGGTACACACCCATAAACATCCTGAGTGCAGAAAATAAGACATGACAGGCAGAGGGCAGAGTCTCTGTAGAAAAATACACTGCCACACACTTCTACTGGGTCATAGGTAATGATGGAGAGGGATTAGTTCTGTATGAGTCTATATATTGTTTTCAGGAAAAGGTTGGGGAGAAGTAAATTAAACAACACATTGCCGTGGCTTTTATTCTCAAAATAGAGATGCTTGAAATTGAATAGGAGTGTCTGTAAACGTGCAAAATACAGGGCATACATACACATGAGGGTACAGTTACATTTGTTATTCTGCACAGTAGCTGCAGATTAAGGTTGTACGGTTATCACCTAATCATAATGCTTTGTCCTAATTAACGTACTGTTTTGTTGCTGTTAAAGTTAGCTATTTTTTGCACTTTTCATGACAGGCCACATCAAGAGAAAACATAACTTTCTGCAGTAATATTATATTATATTATATAAAATTAGGAAACGAATGTCATGGTAAACAAAATGTTTTGATACATCAATGCACACAACAGCTACAGATAAATAAATTTGCCATTATGTTAAATTACATAGAAGGTTATCCACATAAGAGTACAGCAACAACTTCATTACACACAAAATAATTCCATGACTTTTACAAAAAAGTATCATCACACATGACATCTTGGTGTGGTACAACAGCTGCTCCGCGGCTGACAAAAAAGCCCTGAACAGATTCAGGAAGTCAGCCCAGAAAATAACACACACACGCAGCTACCATCACTTTCTGAAATATATCACACCAGATGCCAACAACGAGCAAAGAACATTATTCAGGATATTTCCCACCCAGGTCACATTCATTTCACACTGCTGCCTTCTGGGAGGCGCTACAGATTTATTCAGGCCCGTACCTCCAGATTGTCCCTTAGCTTTTATCCCAGTGATATCAGACAGCTGAACTTGCACACACACTGACTGACCTACTGCTGCTCTCCCACCGATTGCACTTTAGAGGACTGTGCAATATAGTTACTTATGTTTATCGACCGATCGCTGCTTGACTGTGCAATATATATATTTGTTTATTACATTTATGTCTATTTATTATTGTGTGTTGTTGCTGTCTTGTTTTAAGTATGTTTTTCTTTTATCATTCTTGTCTCCTTTAATGACCACATGGGGCCTGCAGTTTTAATCTCATTGTACCATGTATAATGACAATAAAGGTATTCAGCATTCATTAAAACTTCCAATGATTTTTAGTAATTCTATGACGTTTCCTGGTCTGGAAAATGTGATTGTTAATAGTCAATGACTTTTCTGGGTTTTTTTTAAGATCATGTGAACCCTATAGTTCCAGCGTATAGTTTAGTGTGGATTTGCAGTCTAACTTAGGACCCTCACAGCGGATAAGGAAAAACTCACCCCCCAAAAAAACTTTAACGGGGGAACAAAATGGTAGAAACCTCAGGAAGAGCAACTGAGGAGGGATCCCTCTTCTAAGATGGACAGATGTGCAATAGATCAGAACAGTAATCCGTATGACGCAATAACGAATAAAAAGAGGGACAGACAGAGAGAAAAAGTGAGACAGAGAAGTTGCCTGTTAGTGTGGAAGGTGAGGTGCCTTACCGTCACAATTCCTGCCATCACCAGCGAGCTTGAAGCCGGTGGTGCAGCTACACTGGTATGATCCAAGTGTGTTCTCACACTTATGAGCACACAGGCGGCCAGGGTAATGCCTGCATTCATTAATATCTAAAACACAAAGTCCAAATATGCCACAGTGAGACGATGAAATTATGACAAATGTCTGTTACACACATTGTGACCAGTACTAGGTATACCTACAAGCATTGCATGCATTTGGATTACTTATGTGAGAACATGACGTGAAATCGATCAGCTACTCACCCTCACAGACCCGACTGATGCTGTTGAAGATGTAGCCCGTCTCACACTCGCAGCGGTAGGAGCCTATCAGGTTGATGCAACCATGACCCGCACAGACCTTTTCAGGGCCCTTACACTCATCAATATCTGTGGAGGGAGAACACCATGATATGCACCTCAGGTAGGTTAGTAAGATGCTTTGTTATCTAGGAGCAGTGAGTGTTTCAGTCGTACCAACGCAGCGATTGCCCTCCTCATTGAGGTGGTATCCTCGGCCGCAGTTAACGGAGTTCCTCTGGCACATGTAGGAGCCGACTGTGTTGACACAGGTCTGCCCACGGTGGCATGGGCCCGTCTGGCTAACACACTCATTGATATCTGAAAACACAGATACAGATAACACTGTTACATCGTGAAAAGATTGCTTTGATCCATCCAATGTCCAATTTGTCAGGTTTCTTTGAGTGCGGTGACCCATTTATTTGAACACATGCTCACCTTCACACAGGTTAAACACTGTATGTCCATAATTCACCTCAGGTAAGTTTCCACTTTACAGTTTCACAGTCCATCACAGCTAAGTGTTCATTCATCAATTCCAGTTTCAACATGCTACAAATTCTTCATGCTGCCACACTTAACACGGTCAAAAAACGGTTTGCTTTTCCCGTCACACATATGCCAAGTCCTGACATTCTTAATTCTTAGAATAAGCAAATTGAAGATGGTCATGTGTCAGCTGTTCCTTGTGGTTCCTTGTTTGTCTCTCTTTGTGTCTGTGTGTCTGGTTGTGCTCTCATCAGTTCAGTTACCAATCAACTCTTGCTGGCAATCTGCCTGCTCACCTGAAAGCCATCCACTAATCAACCCCAGCAGCCCTGGCTCTGCAGTCCAGTCTCCACCAGATCGTTCGGTCTACCTTGAGGTACCAACTACGGTCTATTTATTGCTTTTTTTCCACTTGGATTTTTTGCCTCCACACTCACTGGTCGCCTGTTTGCCCGCGCAACCAACTCTCCTAATGGACACAGGATACGCGAGGCAACCATCGTTCACACGCAAAAGTGTAGTTAAAAAGCAAGTATATCTCTGAGTCTTCCTGTAATTACCAAGCAGTAACCTAGGGGGCAGTAACATGAAGCCAATGTAGGAGTGCCAAAAACTGTAGTTCCTCACATAGCCACTTGAGGCTGGCTCCAAAAATGACTCAATCCCCATAGACCCCGATGTTAAAATGCCAAACTTTACAGCAGAAACAAACATGTTTACAGCCTGGTACAATTTTCCTGTTCATGACAAATGTCGCCTATCACTCACCTTTTACTAAGGCTTAAAATTATGCATAATTAAAGGCATGGCAGCTTTAAGTGACAGCCTGTCTAAGAATAGTGTCTTCGATTCAACCCTTGCTCCTCCACAGCTCCAACCCCAATGTTATTCTGCCAGTTTATTCACAGGCTGTGCCTAATATCACCAAAAATACATCATATAAAATGTGTACTTGCTGTTGTAGTAGTGAGGTGCTTACCAATGCAGCTGCCAAGGGCATCCTGGATATATCCAGCACCACACTTGACCTTAGGGACACAACGGAACGACCCCTGGGTGTTTTGGCACTCAAACTCTGGGCCACAGTTATGGATACCAGTCTCACACTCATCAATATCTGGGTAAAGAAATCACAGACAAAAATTCCATTGAAGGCCAGCACCTAAAACAATAAAAAACAACCAACTAAGATACACAGTAACAGAGGCAGACTGAGGACAGTTTGACTGACCTTTACAATTGTTGTTGTCAGTGAGTTCATAGCCAGTCCCACAGCTGACCTCTCTCTGGCAACGGAACGAGCCCTCTGTGTTGATACAGCGCTCTCCTGCTCGACAGTTGCTGGCTCCCAGCAAACACTCGTTGATATCTGAGAGCATGTGAAAGCAGAGGTTCACTTATTGTGCTGATGTTTCCAATAGTGACACGCAGTATTACAGCATTTGTATCACAAAACTTTCACAAGTATAACTCTCCTCTGTGCTGTTAAGTCTCTGTTTAAAGTTGAAGATGGGAGGGACTATTACTCACCCTCACAGCTCTTTCCATCTGGCTTGAGTTTGAAGCCTTTGTGGCAGGTGCAAGTGTCATTGCCTACACAGTTATGAGCACATTTCCCTAAAAAGAATCACAAACAGGTTGATAATTGATTGCTGAGTTTGCAAGATTAAATAATTTAGGTGTAGAAAAGGTTGTTTATTGACATATTATACTATACCTTGGCACATATCATTTAATACTGAATTATCTCCATTGTCACTGGTGTCATCCTTGTTTGGTACTGCATGAAAGAAGAAAAACATGTTTTTATGTCTTGCATCTTAAAGGGATAGCTCGGATTTTTTGAAGTAGGGTTGTATGTTGTTCCAGTCGGCACGCCCTCTGTTTAGAGAAGCAGGCTGCAGTCCAACATGAAGTTAAGCAATGTACTGCTGGGGACTGGGGTCAGCAACAAAACATATTTTAGTCACCCCAAAAAAAAGTCCCACCCAAAACAATCAGTATCAGTTTAAGTGTACGCGATATTGAGAGTACTTTCACCAGTTTACTTTTCCATCACACTGCCCATTTTGTCAGGGAAGCTGTTAAGTTCCCATCTATGCTCTCATTAAACCAGGCTCCACTGAGAAAAACAGTAATTTTGGCTCGCTGACCACAGGAGCTGCTGGTCTACCACTGCTTTGATCAGTTAGTTAGTTAATGTTATGGTGCGACTCTGGTGAATCTGAACTAAGCTTTCTTAATGCCAGTGTCACACAATAGCTCAAACAACCAAATGGATAGAGGCAGTAGTAGATCAGCAACTCCTGTGTTCAGCAGTGTTAAATCACTGTTTTTCTCAATGGAGTCTGGCTTTGAAGAAAGTGATATAACGGCTTCATTTTCCTGTAAATCACCATCTGATGTTAGGGTAAAGCAGTGAAAATACTTGTGGGAAGTGGGAATGTTATAGGTTGCTAAAATATGTTTTGTTGCTGACCCCTCTACAGCAGTACATTGCTTAGCTTCCATGTTGGACCCCAGCCTGCTTCTCCAAACTGGGGGTGTGCCTGACATTTACTGTCTATGGAAAAGTAACCCATACAACTCCACATCAAAAACACTGAACTATCCCTTTACCACCTTATACCTTTATGTAAAGAAGCAAAAACTGTTTTTTTTTCAGGGCTAGCTATTTCCTATATCGAAGAAGCTTCTTCAGTTCTAACAGACTGGTGCAGAGTAACTCTGTGTGGATGTAACGGTGCGTTCGTTTTGTACTCGGAGGTCGGAAATTCCCAGTTCCCAGTCAGAAGTTTAAACTCGAACGCACCCTCAGATCGGATTTCCAACTCGGAGCACCCGCATCAACCCCGACTTACGAATTCAAGATGGCTGCTGGTTACATACATAGTGAGTAAACACTCTGCTAAAGTACTGTTTATAGCAATTTTATCTTATTTGTTTTACATTAGGTCAGCCATACCCATAGTACTGTTCAATTTTTATCCGTGGGCATGTTGCTACACTGTCTGTATGTGCAAAATACCACAGAGCGTTGTTATCAACTGATATTGCTAACAGTGGCTACGGCTAGCCCAGTGGTAGAATGGTAACGTTCTTGCAGGTGTCCATGTTTTGTTCTGACTTGTCCACCATTGTCAACTAGAATGCAAAAACTGTTGTTAACTTGGAGGTGACGTCATTCCCACTTCTGACTTCTGACCTCCGAGTACAAAACGAACGCACCATAAGCCCTTTCAGAGTTGTTAAGGTCAACTGTGTGTCGTTGACCCACCTGGCCATTTTGTGTGTCGTTAAGGTTAGATGGGTTCAGGGTGGGTGAATGGGTGTTCAGCTGTCTGGGGATTGATCTCAAGATTGCATTGTAGGTGGGTGATAGTGGTGTTGTTGGCCACTTCCTCTGTTTAACGATGGTCATTTGATTACCATGACCTGGATAACTGAGAGTCTTCATCGACATTCTCTGCTTATTCTATTGCCTTGTAAGATTTCCGATGGCCTTACTGTGGGTGAACGAAAAAACAAATCAGAGCCGAGAAGTCTCTAACGCAGCTGTAAATCCAGTCAATTACTGCTCATGAACTGCAGTCAAACTGTCAAATTGACCTATGGCTAAGTCCCTCAAATGCGATGAGCCAATCACAGTGTGTATAGCCATTCCCATACACTCGGACATTCTCTGCCTGGACGTTCATTGAAATGCATTACATAAAGTAAGTTTTGTTCAGTTTTATGAGCTTTTTCGGAGATTTGAAGTTTAAAAATGGTCAAACGGTGTGTATGGGGTACATGCAACTCTGACACAAGGTATCCTGAGAGGCTGGGCGACGAGGTGTATTTTTTACACTTTAAACCACATCTCAACCGAGAAAAGTGTCTCCTTTGGATAAAGTTGTGTGGTAACGTTAGACCACAACATCAACTCAACGTGAGTAAGATTAACAATGATGTCTACATCTGTTATAAGGTAAGTCAACATTGTGTTTGAGGCAACATATTGTCACTTTGCTGGAAAGAAATATGAAGTTATTTTTAACATCTCTAGCTAACGTTAGCTAAAGTTAGCCAAACGTTAGCTCCTAGCTGCGTTGTTCATCATGTCACCTTGTTTGCTGGGAGTTCATTAGCCTATTTTGTTCTAGTTTTGTACTTTGGTGATCGTACATCATTGTTAGCTGTTGTCCAAAGGGCTCTAGTTAAGCTAACGTTAACTTCTGGAGCTTAGCTTCATTAACTTATCTGTAATGGCAGAGATAACAAAGGTTGGCAAACGTTATGCTGAATGATTCAGTGTAAATACTGTAGCACCAAACTAACGGAGAGACACTCTTGGTAAAGATGGTAAAAAGGCCGTTATCCTTTTCTCATATTCTGAGCCAAAAACCTTAACTTCAGTGGCACTTTAACTTGTTGTCTTTGATGGTGACAGCAACGAGATGCGGTTCACAAGCGTACACTGTGACCTGTAAATTTTGGCCTGTAATTTAAGCTTTTCATCGACCTTCTCAACAATAAAATGATGAATATATCCCTCCAATGCGTAGTTTAGGCCCTTTTGGTTACTTCTCAATGACATCTGATCGTTACGTCCCCAAAAATCATCAATTGCCTCCTGTGAAATGCCGTGTACTGTGACACCTGCCATAGCGCCGGTCACTGAATGTTGATAGTTTGTCCGAGTGAGTGGAGGGGGGCGTGGCTTAGTCATAGGTCAATTTGGCACATGAATCAAGATTCTGGAACTGCATTGTTTATTTCTCATCTAAATATTTTCAGAAAAATATTTTAGTATACTGCCTAACTGAAAAAGAAAAAACTTTGCTCCAACCAGTGGGCAATGCTAAGTTCTCGGCTCCACTGTATCCAACATGGCGGTCAGGTCACAAACTTTCTTATTTTACTGTTAAACAGTAAAAAAATAACCTTAGAATAAGCCGTTTATATCTACATGATAAGTGCAAAAATATGTTTCTGAAAATATTTGGGCAAGGAATATGCAATGCAGTAACAGAGCCTTGATTCATATTTGATCAGCGCTGCCTAGTTTGACTGCAGCTCATGAGCAGTGATTGACAAGATTGACAACGATGTTCAAGACTCCTCGGCTCTGATTGGTTGTTTTCAGTGCACTGCAGTAGATTCTTGCAAAAGGCAGAAGGAAGGGAGGAGGGACTTTATGTTTTTCACAGATAATCTGTCTCGTGTACTTCTCTCAGAATATAGTGACAGTTTCAGCAAATATAATACAAGTTATTTTAAAAGTGTTACCAACTGTAGCTTTAAACGTCAGATGGCATAACATCATTAATGCCATAATAATACTCAAGACCAAGGTGACATTTTCAAATATGTCTTTTGTCTGTCCATCACTCCAAAACTATTAAATGGGATAAATAAAATCCACAAATGCTCACAAATGAAAAGCTGGAACTGGGAAATCTCTGGCATTTTTTCTGGAGTTTCCATGAGTAATACACTAAATACCTACCAGCTCCAGAGTTGGTGTCCTTTAGCTGAACCTTGTTTGTGTTTAGGCACAAGCCAAAAGATGGCCACAATGACCTCAAACATCCAGGAGGGGGCAGTGTGGGCTCATGTTGACAACACCAGCTGTGCTCTGATTTCTACACTTAATTATTCTTCCTTCTTCTGTTTATCTTCCAGTATTTTAAAATTCAATTTAAAATGTTGGGCACAGGTTTTTCCCTATTTTTTTCCTGTTTTTCTACCTGAATATTAGCATCCTGATTTGATGGAAGCAAACTGAAGGAAAACATTTTTACATTTGGCCTACTTCATGCTTGTTTTTTTAACCCACATTCAGTTGTTGTCGTGGGTGTGGTCTGGTTGTCTGGGGCTGCAGCCATGCAGCAGGCTCGGGACACCTGGCCACACTGGTAACCCGCTGACAGGTTGTGGTCACAGGTTAGGCCATTCTCTAGGGCCGCCTTCCCCAGAAGACAGCAGTCGCAGCACATCTACAGAACACAGGGAAGAATAAAATAGAATAACCTTTAGTGCATAACGCAGACTTAGCATGCACAAGAACATTTTATTTTTTTTATACATAAAGGAGAGGAAAAACACTGTCACAGAGAATCATCACGCCATTCAGCTCTCTAATGCACCCAGGCAAGTGAAACCAAAACTGCAGACAAGGAAAAAGAAGTTGTGGGATGATGATGATGGTTGGTAAAATACTGGAGGTAGATGAGACAAGTTTTTTATTCTGACAATTGAGGAGGATGTGAGTCAGACAGACAGCCAAGCTCTCAATCAACCCGACAGACAAAAAAGGAGGCTGATTGAGAAGACATTCCAACTGACAGGCTTCATACAGACAGATGAAAAGTAGTAAGTCAGTGAGCGAGACGGACAGAGAGACAGACAGTGATGAGATGACATCATCCCCTCTGGCTGAAGCGTGCTCAATCAATCATTATGGCAGCCTAGTAATGTCAGTCGGGGAGGGGGATGAAAGGTGCAGAGAGTGGGGGATGGTGTGTTTGTGTTGCAGTTTGGGCAACGAGGGTATGTACATGAAGTGTAACCAGGTGTGGTGTATTTGTGCAGTGAGGGTGATAGCATGACTTTCAAATATCACAGCTCTATCGGTTGTGCAGCAGTAGTCATTAAATGCTACTCAGTCTCTGTGTTTGTTTCTGTGGCTTTTACTCTGTCCCAGAAAAGTAAATCATTTCAGTACAGAGTGACCCGCAGAGGCTGGAGGAAAACCAGGGCTCGGCATGTTCAGAACTGTGCAAACAAAAAATGTGTCCACAAAGCCAAAGCTGTCCTGTCGTGAATATAATCAATAGTTTTGGTTTTACTCTGCTTAAAGCAACAGATCAGCAAGGTTACATAACTGTGGTAGGTCAAATGATGTTGGATATCAGTTGTCAGTCTCTCAAGGTGGGGACTTCCATTGAAAACCTACACGCTTAAAAGATAATCCTATGTAAGTCCCGCCCTCAAAGGAAGACTGGTAAAATATGGGCCAGCTTCGGCCAGGGTCTGCTCAAGGTGGGAATTTTGTGCTCTGACCCCGCCTCACTATTTTTTTGTAAAAGGTACGATCGCGGATTGAGGGGACAGAGCTGTCTCGCCTTTAAGCTGGCAGCAAAGGTAATGACAGCGCCAAATCGATGTCTGCATAAAAGGGACAGCTGGCAGGATGGGATCATGGACAGGACAGGTGTGACAGCCGCTGCATTTCGCTCTGTTGACGTCATTTGGAGCAGAATCCTGCACAGGTCCATTTTTGAAAACCCGCACCCGCCCAGATCCATAAAGCTCAGTACCAGAACCAACCATCACTATGTCTAAGTAAAAGCCGCACCCGCCTGCACCCATTAATACAAGTCCCACGACCCAACCTACACCTGTGATTAAACACACACAGGCTACAGTCACTCACATTAAGCTGGGCTTTCCGTTCTGGAATTACAAATCACGCGGACAGAAAGTCTCCTCCCGCCACCATAAAACCTAAAAGGATCCTCTTTGAGTGTCTGGAACTCGATGTTCGCTGCCACCTCATCCTAAAGCCTGATTTATGGTCCTGCAGCGTACCTATGACATACCTACGTCGTTGCCATGACGCCGTCGTGAACCCTTCGAACTTCTCCGTCACTCCATTTCGTCTTGGTGCAATTCACCGCCAGAGCGGTAGGGGGCTGCGTTCCTTTCCTGAATGGTTATCGTCATCTCTAGTTGATTCTTTGTTTAGCTTCCGGCTTTTCCGGTCACAGTGAACAATGGCGACCGAGAGAGAGAGAATCTTGTTGGAGTGGAGTTGTTGGATGTCAAAGAAAGTATGTTAATACTGCAACATCTACATCGCAACAGAAGATGTTTAAAGATGGCGGGGATGGCGCAATCTGGAGACACGGAACCGGAAATGCGTTGCTACCAAGCAAACCAATCACAGCCCTCTCGGTCTCCGCTGGGTCTGCGTCGCCTTGGCGTGTAGTTACATTTTTTGGGAGGTGCACGTCAGGCTACGCCGGGGGCTTCCGCGAGCCTCCTGCGTAGCCAGGTACCCTATGACATAGGTACGTCGTTGATTTAACGCAGGACCATAAATCAGGCTTAAGGCTGTACAGTTTCATTGCAGAAGTCCTGCAGGACTTTGATTTGGAGCCAGAGTCTGCACAGTAGCAGTCTCCACAGTATCAAGTATCCCGCCCATACACCCGTCTGAACAATTGCGAGCAGCACCACTGAACGCAAGCCCACCAATTGGCTCACACAGTTGTCAGTCATGTTGTAAAATCCCCATTTTATGACTAAATAACTAAAACCAAACTTATCAAAAACATTAACACTTGAACACTACCTTAAATGACAGAACCCATCTTTAAGAAAAATTTATTTGATGTGCACTTTGAGTTTTTAGTTCGGCCCATGTCCCATCCATTAACATGGGGAGGGCGGGGTTTAAGACCTATACTGCAGCCAGCCACCAGGGGGCGATTCAGATGTTTCGGCTTCACTTTTGGGAAAAGCAGTCATCCTGGATATCTTATCTTGCACTAATAAACAGCATTTTGGCACCAGAGTCAGCACAGTAGCAATCTCCATTATATACATGCACCTGTTAAACTAATCACGAGCAGCACCACTGATCGCAAGCACACCAATCGGCACACATAATTGTCAATTATGACGTCAAACCCCTTTTTAAAGCATTAAATAACTACTTTATAACCAAACTTGTGACCCATTAAACATCAACATTTTAAGAACTATAAAAAATGACAGAAACCATCTTTTATTTGACGTTTACTTTGAGGGCGGGCTTTACGACCCATACTGCAGCCAGCCACCGGGGGCAATGTTTAGGACTTTTAGGGAGCCATCATGTCGTCCATCTTTATATACAGTCTATGGTAGTGACTTGACCATTATTTTATCCAGTTACAGTGGGTGAAGCCATCTCCTACTCATACATATCTTCTGTCTTATTCACCTTACAGTATCTGGGCACTTTTAAGTCTGAGCCACCACCTGCACTTCAGTCGATCATGTAAAGACAAGCTGTCTCACTCCTAATTATCTCATCCTTTCCAGAAAATGCACCAACTTGCATCCTCTCCTTGGTACATTTTGCCAAGCATTTATCTTCCCGATGTGTTGATGTGGAGTGTGTTGTGAAAATATGGGGGCACAGTGAGGGTTGGGTTGAGGGAATAAAAACATAGAAAGGCTGCAAAGTGCTTGGACGTGAGCCTGCGGAAGATTCTAGAGTCAGAGCTGAATTTATAATCTATCTGACAGCAACAAGCTCCATTCCTCCCTGGAGTGACATGCCTCATCCTGCTCACAGTGCACACACACAAACACACACCATCGCTCTCATCAATCATTTGCCTTCAAACTGGCTGTCCAGCAGAGTGATGTACTGTACATTGATTGAGTGGAGGGAGATTTTTTGGTGCACACTGTGATTATACTCCCTTTTTGTGTCTATATTTTCAGTTAGTAAAGCACACATATGCACAAATATATGTGCACATTCAAGTACAAACACACCTTCGTGGTCTTGGTCTCGCAGGTGTTGGTGAATAACGAATCACAGGCTCCTTGGTCTTTGGCCACGTTGATACCAGTGGTGCACAATTTATCTTCGAGCACTGTTACACAGCACTGCTCCTGCACTATCCTGTCAGCGAGAGAAACCACAAAACACAGGTGGTGCATTTATTCTCAGCTCTATCAATAATCTCCGTGCTGCAGTACAACTCTGCCTGAAAGTGTAGCCCATTAAAATCAGCCCGAGGCGAGCCTGATGGGGATCTCGGAGTTGTCACACTAAAAATGCGTGGATGAGTGGGTTGAGCGAGTCCTGTGTGGATTCAGAGGAGGGCATCGGTCGTTTATTTTTGTTTTGCAACGCTGACATCACTGGATTTAAACTGGGTTGAGCAGCGCTCCCTGAGGCCTTTGTTCTGTTTTTTTAGAGTTGGAGCAACATTTCAGTCCCAAGATGAACATTTGTCCACCTCCGCACGTCCTTAATCAGAGTGGGATTGTGTGTGTATATTTTTAAGAAATTAATCTTATTATAATAATATCACTAAAACAAACCACTCCCTTTAGATAAGCATGCTGTGACCTGTGAGAGTGAGGAAGAGTTGCCCATTAATTGGGTGACTAACAGTTGCAAGTATATACAGTTTGCTTGAGGTAAATGACATCAGCAGGGCAGTCACTCTCCTTAGAAATCAGTGATGACATGTTGCTGATGTGATTTAAAGAATAAAGTGAGAAACACGTTGTTACTGGAAGCACTCCAGCCGACCTTAACCTCTTTGCTCTGTGCAATGAGGATAGTAAAATGTATATCTCTACTGGGATCAATAAAATACTTTATATTACTATAATGGCTGCTCAGATGTCAAAAGCAATAACTGGAGTAGCCCCTCGTGAGACTCTTATTATGAAAATATCTGATCAGATTTCATTGTATTGTTTAGCAAAGTCCAATCAGTTAAGAGCGGATGACTGTTTCTGTCTGGTCTGAATATCTGTCTTGCTGCAACTTTACAAGACAGAGAGCATAAAACGCCACCCCCTCACCTCTCCTCTCTCATTTCCAACCAGCCCTCTTTATCAACCCTTACCAGAAATCTCTTTCCAAATAAACTACCGTAGATCTCGAATTCACGTCAAGGCGCGCACCTCCTCTGCAGAACCTTTTAAGGGCACAGTCGCGCTCCTGTTTTTCTTTTCTCTTCTCCTCTCTCTGCTTTTTTTTCTTTCATACTTCTTTTCCCCCTTTGGTGTCTGAAGTAATCGTTCAGATTTCCTGTTATTGCCTCTCTCCATCCTCCCTCTATGTCGCGTTTCACCTCTGAGGTATTTCCTGGGTTTTGAAACAGCCCCTCTTTCTGACCCCCCCTCACCCCCTTTTCCACCCTGCTCCCCCACAAACCTCTGCCCTTTTCCTCTTTTCCCCACACACTATAATTTAGACAAATTTGGGATCACTTAGGGTGGCTACGGTAAATGTGTTTGCCATCAGTGTTCACGGCGGCAGATCTCCCCGGCTTATGGGCCCTGAACCTGTGGCAGCACACCCTCTAGGGTTACCAGCAGACCTGTTATTATCCCATCACTATTAGTGTTTCCTGCTCTCACGTGAAGTGAATAATGTGCCTGGAGATTTAGTGGAGCAAGGTAAAGCAATCTCATATTAAGGGTCTACACACATTTCCCCTCATACATGGTACAGGCCAAATCCCATGAGGCCAATACTGCAGGAGCTTCTGTTGTGCAGATAGCAAATGTAAGATTGTGACAAAGGGTGCAGCGGTTAATGACTTGTAAGTCTAAATAAGCACCGGGCAAGTCTCCTACCCAGCACTCTTATTCTGTATAGATTTGCAATCAGACAGTGAGAGCAGAGTAGCAGATAGCGCCCGCTCACCTGCATGTGTTTGACGCAGAGATGAGAGGCAAGGACGAGCAGTCTTCGTTATCACGGGCTCGCTTCTGGCCATCTTTACAGCAGTCCTCTATGGAGATCTGCTCCACTCCTGCAAAACATTAAAAACAACCCAAGGTGTGTTTATATGAACAGGTAAAAAAAAATATGGTGAGCATCTCATTCACTGAGCACTGTCAGGGGGAGATTTTCATATCTGGCATTGTCTGGTTTGCCGCAGTATGTGGACCCCTACTGACATGATCACTGCAGGAGATGGACCCCAGATGGAGTACTGCTGCATCTGCAGGTATCACACCTGCCTCCATACACACAAGGTGGTGCCCCCAGAAATGTTTCACGGTGGTGGCCAGATGGGGCCAGTGAACATCCTGGGGTGGCACACCAAAACCAAAAGCCATAGATGAATTTCAGGAACTGGATTATGCTGCTGTAGTATGTAGGCAAGTTGAGAATATGAAGAGTTAAGGAATCACATACTGATTAATCTCTCAAGACAGATTCTGCAATTTACATTGTAGAATCTGTCGGCAGCCCTGTGTGAAAGACGACTACAGAGGGGGGGGGGGGGCGTGGCTTTGAGTTTGAATGATGCTGCGCTTTAGCCAATCACAATGGAGGGGGCGTGGCCGAGACGCGCAGGTGTCCTCAGGAAATGTGTACCTACAGAAACAGCAAGCTCCGCGTCCATAGCGACCGCTCCACCCAAAACGCCGTCTCGTGAACATGAAAATTTTTTTTTTTCCAGCGGATGTCTTAGTTACAACATGGTTGAGCTAACTGGAGTAGTTTCATGTCATATCCAACAACGGGAGGCTTTTAGCAGATGACGTCCTGATGTTAGCTTTGCTGCTGCTGTTAGCTGTCCCTGTCAGCTGCAGCCACTGATGCTTTCTAGACATCATGATTTCCCATAACTGAATAAATACCACACATAGCAACACAAAACTGCTTTGCTAGCTCAATCATGTTGTAACTAAGATATCCGCTGGAAAAATATTTTATTCACGGACCGTTTATTGAGTTATTACCTTATTTTTATACAGTCTATGGTTATTACAGACACCGCTAACGGCTAACGTTAACAGCTAACGGTTAGCCCAGCTAATCTACGATAACCATGTTATTAATTACAAAACGTGCACACAGAAATAGTAACGTTTGTTCAGTCATTGTGTTTATAGACTTAACAAACATCAGATTAGTCTACACGGTGATATAATGATGTGAAAAATGTGATATATAGCTAAACTCTGCTGGTTTTCTACCCTAAGTATTTGTAAACAACACAGCGATTCCCTGGGGGCACCGCCGGAAGTGAAGGGCGTGAGCGATCGCCGAGGCCCCTGCACTTCTGTTAGTCGAAAAACTCCGGGCTGTGCCTCCAGAGGTAAAGGAAGAAACCAATGGATTTACCAATGGATTTCCAGATTGCACACTGATAAACCCTGGTTTCTTATTGTACAGTTAATGTTGCTAATTATTCAATGTGCACAGACTAATACCAATCCAGCTACCTTTTGAGTTCCACAACAATGTGTTATGTATCCGCATCATAGACTGTATATAAAGAAGGATGACACGTCTCTACAGACTACCACTGTACAATAATGAACCCAAAATATCCCAGATACAGCTGCCGCCATCTTGCACTGGTGATGTCATTTGGCACCAGAGTTGCTGCAGCAGCAATCTCCATTGTCTTGAGTTCCCATCCATGCACCCGTCCAACCAATCATGAGCAGCGCCATTGATCACAAGCACACCGTTTGGCACACACAACTGTTAATCAGGACGTGAAACCTTATACCATCAAATAAATAGTTTTAACCAAACTTGAAAAAAACAAGCACTTGAATGAACGTCAACATTTAAAGAACTCCCTAAAATGACGAAAAACATCTTTTATTTGACGTTTACTTAGAGTTTTTAGTTTGGCCCAGGTCCCATCCACTAACATGGAGGGGGCAGGGTTTACGACCTATACTGCAGCCAGCTACCAGGAGGCGATTGAGATGTTTTGGCTTCACCTTTTGGGAGCTGTCATGTCGTCCATCTTTATATACAGTCCATAGCAGTTACTTGACTATTATTTTATCCAGTTAAAGTAGGTTAGGCCATCTCCCATTCATACATATCTTTTTTCTTATTCACCTTATAGTACCTGGACACTTTTAAGTCTGAGCTACCACCCCAATCAAGATTTGGCTTCACTTTTGGGGAGCTGTCATGATCTGTATGTGTTAGACAATTCATTGTTCTTCAAATAGACTAGGGCTGTCAAAATTGCTCAAAAATGACGTTCGAATATTCCTTCTAAAAATAACTCATAGGTTCGAACCATTCGAACCACAAGAGGGCAAACTAATACAAGGAAACATACTTGTATATGAAATATAACTACTTGTAGGTATTTTTATTTCAACATAAACGTCTTTGAAAACATTTACATACCTACACATTAAAACACATGAAACAATTATCTATAACATTATGTTATAAACGACCGCGGACCTCTCACTCGCCCCCCCTCTCTGACCCGTGACCACACCGCCCACGGAAGCGCTGCGAATAGCCTCGAAGCACCGGACCGTGACCGGCTCGTCACCGGCTAGCGCCCTGCAGCGATCATTTCGGCGTCTGGTCTATTTTCTGCGCGAACCACGAGCAAATGTGTCAAGCCGGGTGACGGAGACAACAGCTGGGAGCAGAACTGCTTGTTGACCAGCGTGGAGAAATGCGCGTCTGATGCCAACGCCCACTTGCAAAGAGGACAGCTGCAGTGGTGTTTTTTTCTCTCTCCACAATCGAATATCAATTTTCACATTCGAAGGTCCATTTTTTTTTCAAATTCGAATTTAAATTCGAATTTAGAATATTCGTTGACAGCCCTAAAATAGACTGGTTGTCCTTTTCCCCGTCAAGACAAATATACAGCATTACAGTTGGATTAATAGTAAGGAACAAAACATTTACTGGGAACAAGCCGTACTCAAGTTTAGGGTACCCTTAGAACCCGTTTTCATTCTTGAGTTAAGAGTTCAAGGGACCCCTTTTTGAAAATGGCCAGTTGTTACCTCACCAAAATTTAGCCTAACTTTGGAGTGTTACTACACTGCTTACCAACAAGCTATGCCAATATTATTGGTACCAATGGATGCCATAGGTTGTGTCGTTTCACAAGATACCACTACCTTTGTGCTAGCTTAAAAGATGAGCGCGCCACAGCCTGTTGAAACAGTCATGTCAGCCTCAAATTATTTTCGCCAGGAGGGCAAGCAATTATATCAGATGGGCAATGGCCCCCTAGTGTCCTCCCTTTGGGCTGCCCCTGTTAACACACTCGCCTTGAGACTAATTTCATGCCTTTTTAGCTGATCATGATGAAGCATATCAGATGGTATTGTTTTGTAACATTAAGCATTCTTTGATAAACACATTTTCTTTTGGCGAAGATAAATCCTGCTGATTGAGACGAGTTATGATAATCACATTTGGAAATCTAACCCAAACAAAAAGGATACTGCCGTTGTCCTCTAAGGCATTCTCTACAAGATGGAAAAACAAAATCAAAATCTGTCAATTCAAATTGCCCATAGGCTTTTTTTAAAATATTTTTTTGCCAAAGACAATGAATGATGGATATGTTGTTGCAGACACAAGAGATTTTTTTTTTTTTTTACTGGAGCAAAACCAACTCTGTGGTGATCTGGCTGTTTATTCATGTGGATTAGAGAGTGTGGAATGCCTTGACTCTGTAAACAATCAGCCGTCCCAATCACATCAAGTACATTCATTCGCCTGTGGTTTGTGTGATCTGCCAAACGTGAAATAGCTTTGGCAGATCGGCTTCTTGGACTTTTTTTGCCTTCAGCTCAAACCAGGATAAGTGCGTCAAATTGTTATTAACAATAAGTCCCCCGGGATAAAAAAAAAAACACAGAAAAAATAAAACAAACTTACCGTGAAATAAATTCTGTCGACCCATTGTAACAGAATACGAGTTGTTGCTGGTTAGTGACCGAATGCCCTGAATTATTGGGAATAGTGATTGTGAAACTCGCTGAACAAATCCATCTGTTTGAGACACAGCGTCTGCCGTGAACAGTCTGGCAGGAGTCAGCAACTTCAGATAATAAGTTAGATTACGCTGGGAGGACAAGTGTCTGGAATAGCAGTCCTCAGTTTTATAGATTTGCTGCCGTCTCCCAGAGGGGCAGAAGGAATTTTATTATAACCAGTAAATCAGAGATGAAGCACAAGCAGGAATAGTCATCACCACAAACAGTTTTCTGCATTGATAAACTTTGTAACAACACAATGTAAGCATTGCAATAAAACTCTTAATTTCCCAGAACAGTTTGCAGGCTTCCATAAACCCAGTGTTGCAGCACAGAACTACGTCAGGTCCAAAACATCACAAGAGTTTATTCAAATCGATGTGTTTTTCCTCAGAAGAAAGCGAGTCATTTCTCCAGTGCAGGCTGCAGGAAAATGAAACGCAGAATTAAAACACTGTATCCAATGCTACTACGCAAAGGATGATTAAGCTGGCAGAAAGGAGTGAATATAGACAGAGGATTTATTACTAGGCAGCCACATTAGCTGACTCACTACTGACTTCTGGAAGTCTGGCACATCCCAGAATTCTCTGGCCAATAAACCTTGTAGCAGCTGGATGAAATGAGATGGTATTTTAAAAGCTTTTCACATGGGCCTACCAAGTGGGCCCTCTCAAAGTCTCTCTCTGTCCTCTATCTGTTTGCAAAGTAAAACTAGGACTCCAACATAACATTTACCTCCAAAAAATATGATAACATGGATATGAATTTGCACCATTAATGCCTCATATAAAGGTGTTAATGGGCAAAAGTCAAACACAGTGTTTGAAATGACAGCTGGCCTCCTACTGTAATTGCTCACACTGCTCTGCCCACAGTAGCTCTCTGCTGATAACTAACTCAAACCCACAAATGGCATCACAGAGTCATTCCAACGCCACCACTGTCTGCCGCTCCAGCAAACCCAAATTGAAAGACCAGAAGTGCCTTTAAAAGCCGTGTGGCGCTGTTTTATCAAAAGAGGCAAACCAGGCGCAGCCGTGCCGCGGTTCCCTGTCTCCGTGATGCATTGTCTGTCTGTCTAGAGAGAGGGCTGATTTCCATCTTGGATGGCAGTGCTGGTTGTGAGGGCCATTCTGTCTTGGCAGGGCAGCACATGGCTTGCCTGCGTCTAGACGCCTCATGTAAACAAGGCTTAATGAGCCCACTGGTGGAGCTCCGCCCAGACAGAGTAGTTGGCCTGGGCCAGACGTCACAACAGCAGTGTGCATCTCCTTCACGGGCTGCACCCGAGGCTTTAGGTCAGTCACAGTTATATAAAAACTTAAGTCTTTACATGATACACACAGGTACTCACTTAACTAAGGGAGGTGATAGCTGACTGAATTTCACCCCAGACTGACCCTTGACACAACCCCCCACAGCTTGGAGAAAAGTGGCCCTGCTGACTGTGAAAGTTGCCCCATGTGTGACCAGGGGACCAGGAGCATTTGGGTGTGTATAAATCACACTACTCTGTCCAGACCACCCTGCCCCGGTGAGACGTTGGTCGTTCTGACAGCATCACAGCATACCAAGGCACTTGGCCTTTGACTTGGAGGGCAGAAAGTGGAGAAACCGGAGCAAGGAAAGCTCTTATCCAACTTATGTGAAACTGCATTTTGACACTCATATAAAATCTTCTTTTATCACTTTATAAATCAAGTTGAATCTTGGCTATAGCATAAACAATGTGTAATGAATGAAAGAGAGAGTTTACTTTTTGACATGACATTTTCAAGTTATGTGGAGCATCTGGATGTTGTCCTCAGTCATGCATGACCGAAGAGTTTACAGCTGCTAGAAATGACTTCATATGACAGTTAATATCACTCCCTACATTGTAAGTTGGGAGGTTATATGATGTTTTGTTGCATTTATGTAATGACATAATGGGAAATCTGAACTTCATTTCAATCCTAACATGCAACACTTTGAAGCACCCAGCTTTGTGAGCTTGGCTTTCATCACATGCCCCAACTAGTCCTGTGATAAATTCGTCACCTCCTTGTGTCTCACTCTTTCCCTTTATCACTTTGATTCCTACTGTACATACCTTCACAAACTCGTGTTAAAAAGTTATCTTGCAACATCATAAATCAACACACATGTGCAGCATATCATTCTTTGTCTCTGTTTGGATTAGCTCAACTGAAAGTCATCTGGTAGTGGTGATAGAGTTTCTTCCAGGAAGGTAACTTACCTTGTCCAAGCAGAACTCCGAACAGAGAGCAGAGCAGCACTGCACACGGACCCATTGAATGAAAAGAGATTCAACTTTGGGAGGGGAGAAAACGATGTCCGAGAGCTTTGAGAGTCCCGATGCTGGTTCTTGTGCAGGATGTGTGAATAACGAGTGTTTTAGTGCTCCTGTAAAAACAGAAAGACTGACTCCGCGGGACAGAAGTGGAAGTGATGGAGCTGAGTGAGTCGCAGTTGCAGCGTGACTGCAGGAATGAGCGTCCAATTATGACACTGCGAGGGGCGGGCTGGGGCCACAGGCACACTCAGACTTATTGCTAATCACATGGGTTTTTTCCCAACTTCAGATGAAGGGCTCATTTACAGTAGCCTGTGTCGCAATTTAAAAAATGATTTGGTTTTTGGGACCTATAGATTGGCTCTATACTGTAAGTCCCAAGTCCTCAACTTTGTGTTTTGAGTCCTTAACTAGTCATTGTGCACTCTTCACCAAATGTTAAGCAATTTACTCAACACAATAATATATATATTTTCTTAAATTAACAAAATCTCTTGAATAAAATCTTTTAAAAGAAGGTTTTTGGAAGTTGTTGCATCTTTTGTAACCCGCATATTTTGCACACCGCAACTCCTTTTCTGTTGACCACCACCACAGAGTAGGCCAGAAATTAGTTTTACCACTCATGCTTCCCTTGTCTCAAAGTCAATGGGTCTGTCAGACTAGCTGTTTCCCCCTGTTTCTAGTCTTCATACTAAGCTAAGCTAACTGCTTCCTGGCTTCAGCGTGACACTTAAAGGAACAGTGTGTAACATTCAGGGGGATTTAGTGCCATCTAGTGGTGATTTAAAGCAGCTGTGCGGAACTTTTTACCATTAATAAAACTGTCCCTAGTTCGTATCACCCCTCCTTGAAGATCCGCATATTTATTTGAACCCAACAGCGACAAAAAAGCCTTTCTCTATATGGCTATTTAGCGTAGCCTCGGTCAGGTCGGACACAGCGGAAGTCAGCAAACAAGAATACGGCACCCGGAGGCGGAAGAAAGTCTGCACGCCCGCAGCAGCCCGCAGCCATTAAACCACAGAAGAAGAAGGAGCTGTGTTTACAGAGAGTGTTCTTCAAGTAAGCGGTAAGCAACGGGCATTGCTGAACACATAACAGTTTTACCAGATGTATCTATAAGGACTTGGTTGTACTTTCGATGTCATGGCGGATAAAGAAGGAGCACCATCTAAAAGAAAAAGAGCAGAAGAACAGAAGAAGGCTAAACGGGACAGTGATAGGGCTCGAGCCCAAATGCGTGTAAACCTCGGTCAGGCATTCAGCAAGTGGAGAGAGCTGAGAGATTTGAAAGGTTTTATAACTGATCCCGAGTTGGCCCTTTTCCTAATCGACAGGTATGTAATTTTTGTTTTTATTTAGAGAATATCCCGCAACTTGTTAGGCGTTGTTTCACTTCAATATATGACGACATGGAAGTTATAAGCAAGCTAAATGTAAAGTTAGCTGATGTGAACCGCTTTTGTCTAGTAACGTTACAACAAACGCCACAAAATTATCTGTGACTGTGACCATGAACACAAATATACAGCAGGCAGTTGTCCTCAGTTTATAAGAAATTCAGAGCTACACCAGAACATTTATGATTTTCCTCTCGCTCTCCAAATCAAATGCATGCGGTAATTGCCGGTTGCAGTTGAGATTTGATGAATGAAGCCGAATGCCGGCTGCAGTTGGAATTTTATGACACCAGGCTGTGGGTGTCATACCGCTTCGACCAAAGGGGGCGCTATAATCAACGAAAATGTAAAGTTCCGCACAGCTGCTTTAAACTGGTAAAAACACGGACTAATGCAGTTTAACGCTAGAAAACAAAAATCAGTGTTTTTCCAATGTTCTTATTGTGGAGGGATTTCTTACAACAATGGCCAATGTGAAAATGTGAATGGCCCTATCTAGAGCCAGTTTTTGGTTTGTCTCTTCTAGGCAACTGTAGAAACATGGCGTTGCAACATGGCGGACTCCAGTGAGCAGGCAGCTGACTCACCAACAAGAAAGTGTTTTTGGTTAGGTGCCTGAAATAAGGTCTGTGGTTCACACAAGAGACTTTTGAGTTTCCTTCTACGAAAGTTACGAAAGCTTCAATGAGCTTCTATGTCTTGGTGGTAGCTATCAAGTGCATAAATGAAACTACAGAACGTCATCACGCCAAACCGTGCCAAACGTGGCTTTACAGTCTTGTTATGGTGGAGACGTTAGGTCATGTGACCGTAGCATCGTTTGTTCATAGCCTTACATTAGCTTTTTACTTCTGGTGATTGCATCTGGGCTTTAATAATCATGAAATAGAGTTAATTTGTGAAGATTATCTTGCTTAAAAAATCATAAACGTTTGTTTGCCACAAAGCTTATTTTCGGCAAAAATCCCAAATCCAGTTGATGAGGCTTTTTGATGAGGGAACCAGTGCGATGCTAACTTCTACCTACAGAAGAACATTATCCCTTGAGCCCTCTATAGACTGTAAAAACAATGTACATAGCCACTGCCGTCACCCATTGATTTGTGGACTCCCGTTTTGGAGCCTTGAGTTTGGCATTTGCATTTTGGCCATGGCCATCTTGGTTTTTTGGAGTCGGAAGTGACCATATTTGAGAGAGAGAGGCCACTGCACAGTTTTTGACGTGAACAAAATTATCTTTGGTACCATTTTTTCCAACTGTCTCTCAGTAACGTGATTCTTCATCGTTCTCTCTTGCAACTCGATTGGATGCTGTCACATCCAAAGTAGATATGGTGAATTATGTGTTGACTTCCTAGGAGTGAAAAGCGATGTTAGCTTGGATCTGGGAATGAAGGGAAATTAATTGATGCATGGCACACTTAAAAAAAGTGTTTAAACTGACTTGAAATCTTTGGGCTTCGGGGAAAGTACGAAGTATTTGCAAGTCAAAAGGCTCAAGTCAAAGGCAAGTCACAAGTCGCTGGTATTAATGTCCAAGACGAGTTGCAACTCTAACTTTGTTAAGTCGAATCTTAAGTCATCAAATTTGTGACTTATGTCTGAGTCATGTCCAAGTCACGTGACTCAAGTCCACATCTCGGCTACACTCTGACAGGAATGGTTATACAAAAGGCCGGGAACTGCCCATTGGTCCGACATAACATTGTTCCGACCATATTAAACTCATTGTTCCGAAGTCCCGTTGTTCTGAAATCATCATGATGCCCTGTGGTTAAGGTCTGGTTAGGTTTAGGCACAAAACCACTTGGTAAGGGTTAGGAAAAGATCATGGTGTGGGTTAAAATGAAAAAGAAAGTGACAAAGGGTCCATGTCATTGGTTCGACATCCCATTAGTCCGACTGTCCGCAGTGCTGAATGGCTCGCGGCAGGCGTATGGTGCGCCGCGACCGACTTGAGGCGGAGCAGGCTCACGGCTTATGTGTTTGCCACTTTCTTTTTCATATTAACCCACACCATGATCTTTTCCTGACCCTAACCAAGTGGTTTTTGTGCCTAAACCTAACCAGACCTTAACCACAGGGCATCATGATGATTTCGGAACGGACTTCGGTTTAATATGACACAATGAGTTTAATATGGTCGGAACAATGGGATGTCGAACCAATGGGCAGTTCCCGTGACAAACACATAAGCCGCGAGCCTGCTTCGCCTCAAGCCTTTCCCAGCTGACCCAGAGCCAGTTGCGGCGCACCGTCAAGGTAGAAATACGCCCGCCGGGAGCCGTTCAGTACCGTGGACCGTCGGACCAATGGGCTGTCGGACCAATGACATGGACCCCAAAAGGCCTACCCCAGCTGACATTCTAATGTTTATTCACTGTTGAATCAACGTCATACACCATGGCTGAATCACTGCTGAATTATGTTTCTAATTTTGAGAGTGAAAATGAATCAGCGTTGATTTCACAATGTTGTTTCATAAACTTTCAGTATTGTTTCATCATTGAAACAGATTTTTCTGAACTGTCAGTGTTGATTATGACTTTTGTGACGTTCTTACAGCCATCAGAATTAAACGTTGTTTAATGTTGAAACAACAACTGAAATAATTTCATCCACATTTCAACGTTGAAGGTTGGTCGTGTGCCAGCTGCGATGCTTTTAAAAATATGTTTTATGATTGACACATTTATGTGTGCTGGAAAGAATAAGACCTGAAATACAACCTTGGAAGATGTGGACTTCAATGTTTGTTTTATTGCCTACAGGAAGAATTGCAAATGACTTCAGGCTACTGTGCTACAAGGTATGCATGCACACATGGAAATTGTCTTCCCATCAATGGCAAAGTTGACTTCTTCTGTCTGTGACTAATGATTGTGCTGATTACTCAACATCTGGAGCCGGTTTTGGGGTATTTTAAAAATCTCCTGTGGCTATGTCCAGACTGTAAGCCTTGAAACCTTTTGGATATCTGAGTTAGAGGAAATAGGGGGAATCAAAAAAATATATATTTTCACCACCACTGCCTGAAAATAACTATGTTTTTTTTCACTGCTGCATTTGAGTGTGCTGCATCTTAAGTAAAGTGAAAGATCAAAACGGAAACTGGATCTGTGCTGTGAAAACTTCCTTATATTTTAATCCCCATTGATACTGGTGGTATTAAAGGTCCCTGCAGGCCAACTGCTGAGCCTATTTTTCTCTTTACTTACTGAACTTCACAGCTGTGCCGAAGAAAATGAGGCCATTTCCCTCAAAGTTAATGAATTAAAGCTTTTGTAACGGTGCCACAGATGCGGGCACACCGTCAGCCAAAGTGATCACGAACTGTGAGAAGGAGCCGGGTATAAACAAGCCACACATGCGCTTGCATGCACATACACACACCAGTCTACCGGAATTGGCAAGGAGCGGAGAAATAATTGCTAGACTGCATTATAAACATTTTGTACCAACTCTGCAAATTCAATCAGTCTACTGACTCTGGGCATGGTGACAGAGAGAGGTTAAATGATCTTCTAATCAGAGCCACATGTCTCCACCACCAGTCTAGCCAGTCTAGAAACATCACCAAGGACTTGATATCAGGACACCGCAGGCATACAGGAAAGCCCACAAGTATATGGCAGTTATAAATGGGTAACTGCACTGTTTAAGTGTAGTGTGCGACAAGTCGTGTCTCAATCTCTCCTCAGTCCAGCAGTCTACGTCTCCTACTCTGTTAACAGTCTTTCTATACGACCACATTTTAATGGACCATACCGGTGTTTTGAAAGTTGTACTCCATTAAAATGCATAATATACATTTATGAATGTTATTTAGACTTTCCAGACGGCCACGTGCCTCCATTTATTTCTCTATATAGTGCCACTACCGCAGGCCTGACTTAGGGTAGTGGAGATTTTGCAGTTTTATGTCATGTATCTTCCTTATTCAGAAAACACAGCTGCCTTTTTCAGTATTGAGCTCCCTTTTTTCTAATAAAACCCACTTCAAAACATCCCACTGTGGTGCAAAAATGAGCTTGCAGGGAACTTGTTGGAGGAGGTAATCCATCACAGTGAACATGTCTGCTTTTATTTTTGTCTTTTACTTCACGGTTGGAAAGTAGTGGGGCAATAATTGCACCAGCGATTTAACCCTGACAACAAAAGCAGACACAGCAATTGTTGTAATGGATTAGCAGGTTTTCTATTATTTTATTTAAGATTATTGTTTGGTTTTTATTATCTTTTTTTTGATAGTGCAGCTGAAGATTGACAGGAAAGGGAGGGGAGATGACGTGCAGGTAAGCGCCGTGAGTCAGACTTTGTACAAAAACACCATTTGCAAATCAAAAACACAACAGCATACCTTGAAAAATGATCTTAAATATTGTATTATATGAAGTAAATCATGCAGAAACACTTTCATAGTCCTGGAAGCATGTTTAAACTGTGCAGTGAGACCTCTAGATTAGAAGTAGACTGTTGCTATGGCAGCAAAGATATGGTTCCTGCAGACATTTATCAGTCAAGGATGTGGCAACCCCTGCACTCTGTCACAACAAAGAGCCCCCCTTTACTGCCTTCTCTAATCTTATCTTTGCCTCAGCGTAATGTAGGAAAGAGATAATAAGCCTTTAGAAGCCGTACAACGAATAAAGAATGGCCACAATGAGAGTCAGATCAGCGTCGGATTATAAACCTGGCTGACTGGAGCACAGTGAACATCTGAGGGCAACTTCTCATGCCTGCTTTCCAGAAACAACCAGACGGTCACTCCACCTCCAATCTATATTTAGGCTTTAACAAGAAACAGCAGCGTGAGCTGACCTCCCAGCTCCTGAGGTGGAGGAAATTGGAGTGGTCGAGGTCGCATTCAAACAGTGTTAATCTTGTTGTGGGGGTGCGGTACAGTTCCTTTGAAGCTCCACAAAGCTTGTCTTGCCACGTCTGTGTCAATCAGCAGAGGGCCACTAACACAGCCAGGCAGTCACAGGCCTGCCCCGTGGGGCCCAAAGGACTCGTTCAGTGTTAGTCAACACAACTGTAGACAAACTGTGAAGGAGAAAGTGGCTTTGCTTAGCTCTAACGTTGTAAAGAGGGGAGTAAAACATTTCTCATGTTCCAGTGGGACATTAATAGACTCCATTAACATGCATTTATGGGGTGAAGGAGGTTTATAACATTAATCATTTCCCAGAATCATAACTCAGATGTGAGCTATCATGTTTTATTTTACCCTGTAAACACCTGCAAGCTGACTTGCATGCGAGTAGGTTTATGGCTGAATGTTCTGGCTCTTGGATGTTTTAAGAAAACAGCTCACAATGCTGAGTGTGTGGAGAAAATGTTCCTCAACTAAAGTGATCTTAGTAAAAACAGAGTCTCACTTTGCAGTGTGCTTAACTCTTCACAATAAAATCAGAAAATCTTTTATTAAATAAACACAAATAAATAAAATTGGACATAACATTTAGCTTTACAACATCAGATCTGCAGCTCTGCTATAAAAGCCTGACAAATGAGCCCAGGCAGAAATATTGTGTAATGATGTGTGACAGTGTAACATCTTAAACAGTCTTGGGTTTTATCAAACAGCTTTGACTGCTTTGATGTTTTTCATTTCACTGGCCTCGAGGGGCCCTCAAACAAATCTTATTCCGCATAAGATAGACCACAAACATCAAAGCGGATGATTATCACCCTTCCTCTGATAACTTCTATATTTACACATGGAGCACTAAACAGGAAAAACACAGCGGACCTGACGACAGCGTCTATAGCTCAGTGTCAATGAATGTATCTACTGAGAGCAGACGTATCAGTTAGTGACAGCGAACTGACAACTTGTACCCTGTAAACACCCAAATGTGCTGCATGTGTGTATTCTTGCAGGAACTGTAGTCGGAATCTTCAAGCTTGTTCAGAGTCAAAACAAATGCAACAGCTTTTTCGCAGTTCAGTCCAGAAAATAGAGCTAATTTGTTGCTCTGCATCATCGTTCGTTGCTTGCTGTACATTTAATCAATAATTATAAAACATTTTTGGTGACCTGAAGGTGACTGTGTGTCTTAAATGTTTGTAATTACATGTAACACACCACATATAAGCTGGTGCTGGCAGTGTTGTCAAGCGATTCATTTGTGCTTTCATACTACTCCCTCCTCTCCACTGGGACATCTCGATGTATCCTAGGAGTCTGAACATGTGCGCTGACGCTTTGCAGGCCGGGAAATATTGTCAAGAGGTGAGAGGAGAGAGTCAGACAGGGTTGTAGGTATCATCTCCAGTTTGATTTCTGGAAAGGTCTGGTCAGGGAAGGTGATCCTCAGGTGCTCCTCAAACAGCTCTTTGAGCTTCCTGCCTGCCATGGCGGCCTCTGTGTCAGCCTGGGGACCAAGAAAAGACAACCAGGTGACATGAGCTGAATTATACTGGAGGAAAAAAGGCTTTCTGCATTTAATTCTCTTCACAATACCTCACTGAGGACTGCATGGCTTCCCAAGACGAGCCTGATGTCTGATACAAACTCTGCAGGGCTCTGATAGCACACACTCTGCTTCGCCTCCAGTCGTTTCTTCACAGCGGAAAGATTCACCGGTCCCTTCACAGTCAGCATGTTATTTGCACATACCTACAGTATTTAGGAAGGGAGAGATAATTAAACAATAAAATTTCATGGGAAGATGTTGAAGTAAAGTCATGATTAATGTCTCATGTACAGTATATAAATTGTGCACTAGAGACAAAGGATTTTCACCCCATTTTGTTATGTGAAGGTTTATAATAAACAGAGGTAATTCTCTGTGCTGCACACAAATATAGAGTTGTAATTACTGTAATTTATAGTTTATAATCTATAATTCTTAATGTTCATCCACTCTGTGCAATAACAAATACAAGGTCTCTGTCAGCAACACAAATCCCTGTGTATTTACAGCACCTGATTAATAATGTTTCTGTATTTACTGACAAATACTGCATATTACACATCATTAAAATTACAGTTACGTTAACTCCATGTGACGTTAATCCTGTGAACTTTTCGCCCGTAGTCAGCTAAGCTTCCAGACTCACCGAGGGGGATGCAGGCCCTTGAAAGTCTGAACTCAGCTCGTTGCAAAACAAGTGCAGCAACAGCCTCTCACACTTCTGCAGGGGGAGAAAAATACATAATACATGTCAGCACATAACTGAGGAATCAAATGCAGTTTTCCAATCTTTAGCCTATTGCATCTGCTTACTTACTGAATCAGACACGAGTAGCATATTGGTGAGGTTTGCCTCTCATAACTGGAAACTGATCTGCTTTGTGTCTAACTATAAGTCTTAGCAGTTGTTAAATCACTGCATCAAGCTGCTAATCAAGAGTTCAGTTGTGTGTGTGTGTTTGTTCGCAGCTAATCTTGCGTACTACTGGATCCATCAGCCTAATATTCTCTGTGCATATTTCTGACTGCATGCTCCTGTACCTCTTGTGTTAGCGGTGATTCACAACTTTTGAAAACCCTTTTTTACTAACTTTTATACAGTCACTGAATGCTGCATCTTAAACCCTCTTAAAGGGGAACACCACCTGAATGAAGAATTCTGTCATGTTATTTCCATGGCCTAGAAAGTTCAATCAATATTTGTGATTTTTTTGTGAGCTATTCTCTCTTACAGTCAGAAACCAGAGAGGTTATGCAGTATTTATACTTCTGCGCTGTACCTATGGCGTAGGCTCTGTGTCAACGTAGAGCCTACGCTATACCTTACACCATAGCCTGACATGCACCTCCTCAAAAATGTAACTACATGTCACGGTGACACAGACCTCCTGTCTATATTTGTAAGCTGAAACCATTTCCCTCGGCGGAAACAAGGCTTTTATTTACTTTAATTTCACAGATAAGAAACAATAAATCGTGAAGACAAAGCCTCCACAAAAATAGCATTTTAAGTCTTGTGAATGTTTAATCCTTTCGGGATTTATACTTTGGGATTTATCAGGCCTTAAAGGATAACTTCAGTATTTTTCAACCTGGGCCCTATTTCCCCATGTGTATGTGTGTGTATGATTCATAGGTACAACTTGTTTTAAAATTGGTTCAGTATTGAGGGAGGCGGATGCAGCCGGGAGCTGCGAAACGAGCTACGACGGTAACGGGGGCAAATGCGTCCCGTATAAGTTTGCACATTAAAAGTGCTTTTTTTCGCCACTGACCGGTTCAGATCGCCAGTGCTATCTCTGTAAATAGCACACTAAGCGTTTCCCTTACCTCTGGGCTGTGTGACGTCATCTCGCGAGAGCTTTGCTTGTTGCCGGAAGAAAACAGAGGAGCTATACTGAGCACCGCTCAGAGTGGCGCTGGTTGTCCTGGAGTACAGTTGAGAGTTTTACTGCATAGATTGAAAACAATGGTTTGTGTTTGTGCTTATCTGAATTGCAAGAATAGGATGTCGCGCAACACCCCATACAGTTTTCACAGGCTGCCTTTGTCGGACGGCGAGATGCTGAAGTTGTGGCTAGTTGTGCTACAAATGGATGCTAACACTCCTGTCCAGACACCGCGCCTTGCAGACCATCGGGTCTGCAGTGCTCACTTCTCCCAAGATGACTACTGCCAGCCGAAGAAGAGAAGACATCCAATCCCCAAACACCTCTTCCTCAAGAAAACGGCTGTCCCACGAGTAGAGAGAGCTACAGACACAGTGGAGCAAAGCTCTCGCGAGATGACGTCACACAGCCCAGAGGTAAGGGTTAGCTTAGTATGCTATCTACAGAGATAGCACTGGTGATCTGAACATGTCAGTGGCAAAAAAAAGCACTTTTAATGCACAAACTTACACGGGACGCATTTGCCCCCGTTACCGTTTTAGCTCGTTTCGCGGCTGCCGGCTGCATCCACCTCCCTCAATACTGAACCAATTTTAGAACAAGTCGTACCTATGAATCATACGCACACATACACATGGGGAAATAGGGCCCAGGTTGGAAAATACCGAAGTTATCCTTTGAGCAGAGGAAATCTCTGCTTGTCGCCAGGCTAATTTATACAATGTAAAATGCCACAGGCTTGTGCTAAAAACATTAGTGTTTTGTCTGGGAATGCTGCGAGTTATAATGGAGCCGATTTGTGTACTTGTGTTTGAAATTGTCGCTATTAAGCCATGTTTAATGTGTGTTTTGAATCAACTAAACTTTACAGCCATTCACAGAAACCCCCGCCGCCGACTAGTGGTTTGGAGGAGTAACTGCAGTATGACACAGAGACACCACCGCACAAGTAAAAATGCTCACAACAGCGTAGGCCACATTTGTAGGCTACGGTGTAGGGTCTGCTGCACAAGTATAAATCCCTCTTAAGTCTCAAACTTGTGATGTCATAGGGTATTAAGTCTGGATCTGCTCCACAGACAATAAATGGGAGCCTGATTTTGTGAACCCACCGAGTGTTTGTTTCTTTTTTATATCCCAATGAGCTTTATTCTATTGTAGTGTTCTCAGTTCTGAAACAGAAAACGTTTACTCAGAACAATCCCCTGAGTGCTCTCAGTGTCATCGAGAACACCTTTACCAATTCATCATTTATGGAGCAGCTCCAGATTTTACAACGTATGACATCACAAGTTTGAGTTTTGGCTCTCTAGTTTTTGGATTTGGAGAGAGCTGTTCATGTTGGTATTTTTGGACTGTCACAGGTCACAGGGGCAACATATATCAACATGAAAAAATGGGCGTTGTTCCCCTTAAACTGGCCAGGAGGAGCAGCAACTGCTTCAGTTTGGAATCTAGCAGCAACATACGTGGTGGTCATGTGGTGATGTGCTGGCAGATTCTTTTACTAGCATTTCCACTTTGAAATTGGCCTTTAACATTTTTAGCGTTTAGGAATTGTTCCTGTTCAGATTTGCTTGCCAAGGTAGGACATCTGTGGTTTGTATTCATTCCACTACTCCCATGCAAACACTTTGGACACAGCCTGCCCTGCACTCCATGCTCTCCACCCACATGTCCCCAGACACACCTGGCAAATATCTGCACTCCACTGAGTGTGATGTTGGTTGCTTTTCAAATGCACTGCTTCTCACACCATTGTATGTCTTGTAAATCTGAGATTTTCCTCAATACAATCACTACATCTTATTCTTGTGATACACAATATAGTTGCTGGACAGTAGAAAAAGCAATATGTGTGCCACCAGTTGAAACAAGGAAAATATGAGTTAGTTGGGCTAACAAGCTCGAAAAGGTTATACTTAAGGATACAGACAGACTTTGAGTACTGTGTTTGCTGTGGATGAAACTACAAACTGGGATCATTTTTAAAAAAGCATACTGACTCGTTTGTCCACAGGGGGAAATCCTCCTTCAGATCCTGGCTCCTTCTTCACTGTTTTGGCTTCAGGTTTGCTTTCACAGTCGTACTCCATCTCAGGCACTAACAGGTCACGGCAGAAAGAGCAAAACCATTCCCCACTGTAAAGAGACAGCCCAGAGACTCAATGCAAAAGCCACTAAGCAGGAACATACATTAACAAGTACATAATTCTGCTCTCAGATGAAAGCCTCACACCAAAAGGTGAAATAAAACTTGTCAAAAAGAGACTCGTTCTTATTAGCTGAAGGGTTTTCTTTCCACAGAAGACCATATTTCTTTGATCCTAGTGCAAACATGAGTTATGGGGTTTCATCTGAGACCATAAATAAATTAATTTCCCCTGTCAAAGCTTGCCTGAGAGATTTGAGGAGAGTGGGAACATGGCACGAAAGGTGAAAAACCTTGGGACACTTATCGCAGCACAGCAGCTCTCCCCCGGTTCGACACACAGCACACAAGGCTTCATTAGAGTCTTCCAGCGGAGCTCGGTGCTGCTCTACCTGCTGTTCTCCTCCCAGTGAACGGATGCCATTTGCAGCATTAGTCTTACTCTGGTCCTGTGGGCTGCTCGGAGGCTGTGAGGGGCTATGGGGTTTGTCGTTTGTGCTTTGAAGAGGGGTAGAGACTTTGTTCCCCTCACCATGGGCACTGATTTGGGGTTGGTCACCTGTGCTGTCGGGGAGGCTGGCTCTTTGGTTGGCTTGTACCTGAAATCCACAGAGAGAAAAACAACTCTGGTCGAAGTTAAACCAAAAAGGGGCTCAACTTTGATCCACAATAATTGCCATCTCCACACAGACAACTTTTCTGTCCAATAGGGGATTATCACTGATACTTCAGGTGCCATCACTTCTGGTTTTACCTCCAAATAATTAGGTTTAGGAAATCTAACACAGCTGTGGGCTTTTTTACAACCTGTCTCACTGCTTATGTTTCTTGTCCTGTTTGATAGATAATATCTGTGTTCCCATATCTCATTAATTACTGTGGTGAGGCAGTGTTATGGTAACCAAAAGTTGCATTTCTAGCTATTAAAGTTGTAATAACCCGCAATTTTCATTTAAACTCATACTTTTATACTCATACTCTGTTTTCTTACAACCCCATCGCCAGAAAAAAAAGTTGCTATTACACATTTCTGCAAACCAGTTAGGTTACATTTGCATGTTTTTATGTGTTGGATATGTTGAAACTTCATGTCTACACTGTGGTTAACGTGTGGCTAGGTTTAGGCACTAAAGCCACTTGGTTATGGTTAGGAAAAGACCATACTTTTAAATAAAAACAACCACTCCTTGTGGCACTATCCACACTGGAAAAGCAACAACAGGTCGCCCACGTTTAGTGCCTAAAAAGGCCCCAAAACCACGACACTGACTTACTAAATCATAAACGGTTTTGTTGTTTGCTGATCTCAAACAGTGGTCTGCAGCTTAGCAGGCATCTTACCTCAGTGACAAGCCATCCATCATCCCCTCCATCTCCTGATGACAGTCAGCTCATATCCATAGTCACTTTAGAAACGCTGATATGATATGTATGAAATGGGCCAGTGGAATGTTTTGTGGTGTGCACAAACGACTGGGCTATTTTTTAAATTTGCTGTCTTCCAACAGTACTAAGATTTTGCTAAAAGCATCTGCAAGAATCTAATCTACACTATAAACAGAATAGTCACTGGACTGTATTAATAATCCATTGTCTTCTTACATAGCTGCCGTCATCATCTGGCTCGTCTTTGATGACAATGATGGGCCCTGGTGACGATCTTCGTCTTTTTTTCACAGCTGAGCCCACTGCTCCGCTCGCCTGGTGTGTTTCTGGAGGTTTCCATGTCACGGTCCTTGGGAGCAAGGCATGAACCAATTAGAGTAAAGCCAAATTCACTGGAGAGACCAATGGCCCAAAGGGACGACTGTACACAGCTGTCGCCTTACCCTGGTTTCTCCTCCTGGGATACAGCAGTGTACCCTAGTGAGTTCTGCTGTCCTTGCACTTGAGAGAAATAAAAATCCTCCATCAAGAATACAGCAATACATACAATGTGCAAATTACAAATTATGATGGTCCAGACATACCATTTCTGTGTAGCAAAGAAGGTGGCAGGCTCTGGGGATAGTTAGGTTTCAGTATATAGATGGGACCACCTGAGTCACTCCTCCTAGTCAGATACGTAGGTTCAATCTGAACACAGTATTGCAAATTGTTTACTACACTGTTAACATAATGTATATAAACAAAACTGACATTATTGGATGGAGTCACTTGCCGTCTGTCGTGATTGAGGTGAACTGACGCCGCCATTGATGGGCAGTGGTGTTATCTGGGTGTACAGAGGTGAGGAGGAAAACACATCCACAGGTTTGGGTTGGTAGCTGGAGCTGCTTCCCATCCCCCTCAGAGGCTACAAGACAGAGACACAGGAAGATGGATAGAAGTGCTGCAGTCATTTTCATCCTACATTCCTGTCAGCGTCTGTAAGCATGTGATGATGGAGGTGGAGATGAAAGAGTGTGCTTTCATTACCCTGTCACTGGCTACGTGGGTTGACGCCACCTGGCAACAACCGGAACACAGAGGACTTAACCATCAACAAAACACTCAGAAGTTCCAGGCTGATCCTGCCTAAGAGTTATTTTTGGTTTATTGTAGCTTTAACCTTGCAGGTGCAGCTCATCTTTCTCCTCCTACAAAATTCAAATGCATGTGTCTAATTTAGGTTGGTTCACCTGCACCTTGCACCTAAAGGGACAGTTCACCACAAAATCAAAAACACAGTTATTTTCTTTTACTTGTCGTGCTTTTTTGGTGGGAGTTCCCGTGTGTTGGAGATAATAATAAAGTGCCAGACATCTCTACAGCCAATATCTCCAACACTCGGCAACTCACATCAAAACAATCTGGAATCATGAATAGCACTACAGATAAGAGGAGAAACATGTATTTCAGCCAGGAACACTTTATTAAAGAAAACTTTATTTCCATTTGCAGTATTATATTTGGCAGTATGGCTCTGCTCAGGGGCCTCTCTGGCTACAGAGAAGGCCGAAGGTGGAGAAAACACATCTCTCTGCCCTTCCATGCACCTACATGGACAGCCTTAAGGCAAAGAGAGCACACTTGTCTGCCCTTCCATGTGCAAACGAGGAAAGCCTAAGGTGGAAAGAGCACATCTCCCTGCCCTTCTATGCACCTACATGGAAATCCTAAGGCAGGGAGAGCAGCAGCAAAGACCCCCCAGGAACAGAACAGAGCAGCATCAATGACAAACAGAAATGACACTGATAAGTCAGACACAGCATGAAAAGGAGGAGCTGGGGTGGAGGCAGGTTGCAAAGCAGCTTGCAGAGGAAGCAGCAACAGTAGACAGGCCAGAGCAGTTTAAATAGGGCGCCCTGAATGAGATTCACCAATTGGTTGCATAGAAAGGGACTGTGATCTATCAGCTGACTCCCTTCCATCAATCAGCTGCTCCATCAGCTGATTGGGCTGTTTGAGATCAGCTGATGTAGCTGAGATGTGAGCTGAGCTTGACACTGTGTCCTGCCTGACAAAAACCCTATGCTTCATTTTTGATTTTGGGGTGAACTGTCCCTTTAAAGGACCATACCAACATTTTTTAACACATAACACTACACTGCAGTTACACCAATTCACATATACTTACCTTAGTACTGAGCAACCTATTCTCTCCATCAGCCTGTTACTATGAGCCACGAGGTCCAACACTAACACAAAATGTTCAGCCAAAGTCAAAACAGTTTTTGTTATTTTACATGACATTGCATGCTGATAAAATCTAATAAATCTACACCCACACACAGTTTCTGTGTGTTAAACTCTGCTTATTAAGTCATGTACATTTACTGTACTTACTTTAATACCTAAGATTTAAAACCAAGTTTTAAGGGGCTTTATTGCTAACCACTCTAGAGAATGCAGTCACTGTTTTTGCAAACCTTCCAGGAAGCCTTTGGTTTTCATTTATTTCACAACAGTATGAAATGAACTTGCCTCATCATGTCAGCTCTTCTATTTATCAAGATTAAATGAACACTCTGAGGTAATTTTTTCACATTAATCTGCTCTTACAGTTGCACTACGGCATAACAATAAAATAACTCGAGACAAAATAACAGCAGACAGGCTCTACAGTTAAAATTATAGACTTGTCAGTTATCCTTAAATATCTTTAAGTCGACTGCACCATAGTGACGTATAAAGAAAAACAACTAAAGCACCCAGAACACATCTAAAAACCTACTACATCTTGATTTAATATATACTCAGCACTACCATGACACAATCTGCAGTAAAACACACAACACACTGTTATATATCTTTCCAACTGAGAACATTCAAGAGTTCATTATGCAGCTATAACAGCTTGTTCACATCAGTGTGACACAACGTTAAGTGTGCACTTCACACGCCAGTATTGTCCTGCCTATACTTAAGAGCTGGAACCAAAACACCCCGTGAACTAGACTAAACAACTTGGATGATGAGATAATATCAAGCCTTTTCTTATGGAATCTTGGGCCCGTTCTCTGTCACATGTTGGCTGCTGTCGCACTGCAGATTTAGCTGTTTTATTTTATGACTTTGAGTCATAAGCGCGTCCAAGACTAAAATCCATCTTGACAAGGAAAGACATAAATTGCCCAGGATGTGAAGGCTGTCAGCTCTATTTAGGACAATGCCATCCTCTGTCAGTGCTCGTTAAGAGGGGTTGTCAGTCAAACGGACACGAGCGACACATGCACACTCACACACAGAGGCGTGCACCAACCTGGGGCGTAAACCCAGGGCTCGGTTGGCTGCTAGTTGGGCTGACGTGGTTGGCAGGAGGCACCATAAACCTGCGGCCTGGTTGGGGAAGCACAGTGTGGGAGGGAGAGCCTCCTTGCAGAGGCCCTGGAATGGTTCGCTGTAGCCGGACGCTCTGGTACCACGTCCAGGGTGGAGGAGGTGGTTGAGGCTGCCAGTTGGCCTGCGGGTTGAGCTTGTCCACCTGCATCTGGAGCTGAGCCAGAGTACTATGGGGTGCTCCCAGGGCAAAGCTGTGGGGTGAGCCTGAGGGGCCCTGCCCAGGGTGGGAGAGCTGATGAGGGATACCCTGAAAACCGCCCAGCTGGTGGCCTGGTACACTCTCCACCACTAAAGAGCCTGAGGGAACATACACACAGAGACAGGAGGAGCATAACAATTAGGGATGAAAATACAATCTTCTGCAGAAAACTGTGGAAAGAGAAAGTTTGTGCAGTTATGTGGAAACTTTGTGGGGCTATAGAGGGGGAAAACCAATTAGGGACACAACTACGGCTTTTATCAGTTATGTCATTGGTTATATTTCAATTAATCTGTTAAAATGGGTTTAGTGATATGAAAAAAATGTCCCTCACAAGTTCCCAGAGCCCAGTGGCATGTATTCAATTGGCTTGTTTTTACATTCCAAAACCCAAAGATATTTAATTTACGATGATATAAAATCCAATCTTAACCACTCGCTATTCCATTTTGATGCTGTCCAGACAGTGCAACTATTGAATCATCGAGTTCTAACGTCAAACAGGAAACTCTCAAGGGACAGATAATCATGACAAAAGGCATGTGACAGCTTTATGCAAGGTTTGTCATATTAACATAATCTGCCACTATCGTTGTTGTTATGCTTGTTTTATAAGCAACCCAATCACCAGAATCAATGTTGGCATTGTATGTTTCTGCAAATGATACATTTGTGCATTATTATGTAGCAGATACGTTAAAACCTTATATTTTAACAATGCTGCGGTTAGTGACTGGTTAGGTTTAAACACACAAAAGATGTGTGGAAAAGATCATGTTTTTGGCTTAAAACAACTGCTTTTCGTGGCACTATCCCCTGTGGAAACACAGTGATGTCTCTGTAAAAAACAACAGCTTGTTGTGGTGCAATCAAGACTGGAAATGCAGCAATGTCTCGGTGAAAACAATCACTGTTCATGGCGCTATCCGGCAGGGAACAAAGCAATTTCTTAGTATAAAACAGCTGCTTTTTGTGGATCTGTCCCCAGTAAAAACGCTGCGATGTCTTGGTAAAAAACAATCACTTTTGTGGCATTATCCCGGGTGAAAACACAGCAATGGCTTGGTAAAAAGAACTGCTTCTGGTGGCACTATCCAAGCTGGAAATGCAGTAATGTCTTTGTAAATAGAAACCACTTTCACAGCACTCTCCTGGGTTGAAATGCAATGTCTCAATAAAAACCAATTGGTTTCGGTGGCACATTCACAGGTGGAAACACAGCGATATCTCTGTAAAAAACACAACAACAAGCTTTTGGTGGCACAATCAAGACTAAAAAAGGAAGCAATTTTTGTGGCACTATCCCCAATGGATTCACAGCGATAGGTCATTGAAAACCAACCACACTTAGTGCCTAAAAAGCCACTGAAAACACAGCAATGAAACAGCTGGGTCACAACAACCATGTTGGCAAATATGTGGAAATAGAGAGGCAAACCACACACATATTTTTTAGGAATGTGCAAGCTACACCAATTCTGGGAAATGGTGAATGTTACAAAGAAATTCAAAAGATTCTGGGATATTACTGCAAAGTCACTTACCTTGGGAATATAAATGATTGTGTCATGGATTATGATAAATATGTGGCCAAGATATTCCTGATAACTAGCACTGAGGCAATAACAAGGAATTGGCACAACACTAAATCCCCTAATATAGAACAATGGATGAAATTATAGGAAATGTGTGTGCTATGCTTTGTGCTTTTAGTTAGTAAACAGGAGAAACAGATGATTTATGACACAGTGGAAAAAACATCTGGACTAACTAATAAATAAACATTCTTTAAAAATTGGACATTTGTAACCATGACTGTTCTACTTTTTACACTTTTTGCTCAGTTTTTCTCTTCACCTTTTTGATTGTGGAAAGATTGTTGTAAGTTGTTCTAAATGATACTTATGGTTGTATACTAAATAAATATTCATTTATTTCCTGTAACCGCTTATCCTGTTGGGGGTCGCAGGGGCAGCTGACATTGGGTGAGAGGCATGGTACACCCTGGACAGGTCACCAGACTTTCACAGAGCTGACACATAGAGACAGACAACCATTCACCAATTAACCTGCATGTCTTTGGACTGTGGGAGGAAGCCGGAGTACTCCGAGAAAACCCACGCTGACATGGGAGGACATGCAAACTCCGCACAGGGGGGCTCCCCCACCCTAGGCTCAAACCAGGAACCCTCTTGCTGTGAGGCAACAATGCTAACCACTGTGCCACTGTGCCACCAGCATTTAAGTAGGAAAAAAAACACAGCAATGACTGGATTAAAAAACAACCAGTTTTGCTGTTTGTTGGTCTCAAACAGTGGTCTGCAGCTTGACAAGCGTCTCACGTAGATATCACATTATCAACCATCCCCTGTTTTACTTGACTTCAGGGAACATTATGATGCGTTTGAAACATGAAAATGTAACACATTTGTGGTTTGCAGAAACATACAATGCAGACATTTTCTTCTGGCTATTTGGCACGTATTTGAAAATGCTGTCTTTCAACAGTAGCAAGCTTTAGTTAAACGTATCTACAGAAATACCAATCAATAATATGATCAGTGTGGCTTTTATTGTGTGGTTAGAGATTGTGTAGCAGTTAACCAGTTCAACAACACTCTTAAAGTTATCCAGTAATACAGTACAGTAAAATTTGGTTGAGGTTTAAAGCTCTCAAAAACTACAAAAACAGAAAACTCACAATGAAAACAGTGCCCTGACCAAGAGAAATGTATTCTGGGGATTCTGGATAAGCTTCCATAACAGAGACATTTGTTCATGTCTTACCCAGATCAACATTTGAGGCCCAGTAAGAGGATCGACTCTGGAAGCGTACAGTGCTCTGTGGTATGAACGAGGTACTACATTTTACCCTCAGGAGGTTTCCAATCTGAAACAGAATCTGCAACAGAAAGGATGTTATTAATAATTTTTAGAGGAGGACGCCTGTGTGTTACAAAAGGCATATGTTCCCACTTCATCACGTCCAAGATAGACCACGCTCCTAACTGGCTTTCAGAGCTGAGGTTCATGTTGGGGAAAAAAACAGGACTGTGATGCGATAGTGGATAAATGATCAGACAGGCCTCACCAAACGTTTACAGTACAAGAGGGCCGTGCCCCCATTCCTGGCTGTGGCCCATTTGGTGAAGTTGATGACATGATCCAGGTGTCTGGATAGATAGCCGATGTCCTCCTGTTGTTTTCGCAGGACAGTCTCGTGATCCTTTGTTACAGCCTGGAAAACATGAATAAGTGAACATCTGCAGTGTTCAAACAGCTCGAGGGTATGCGCTCTGGGCCTCGGGGTAAGACAGTCAACGGAGTTTGCATGCAAGTAATGTTCCTCTGGAAACAACACCACAGCAATCTACAGGTCTGCACCATGCAGCTCATAAACAACACAGTTTTATGATATTTGTGATGTATTTAGAAGCTTTTCTCATACCTCTAGTTGATTAACTAGCATCTTGCCCTTCTTGTTTATCTCCAGGATCAAACTGCAGATGGATTTCTTTATTTCATTATGAACAGACGTGCGGTTCTGATCAACCTGAACAAGTCTGAAAAACATAATTACACACAACCATCAATAAGCACTCAAATTTGACCAATTCTATGCAAAGCAAACACACTTTACAAACATCTTTTTATTACTGGAATCGCGCATTCCTTTATCCTTAAACAGTTGTTCTTGTTCATAAAATTCAGAGGTCATGGGGAAGAACAAAATGGCTCACAGTTCTGTAAACCATGAGTGCGTTCAACTTTTGTTTAAATTCTGCACACTTGACATATATAATCGTGTGGTGTTGTAATACGTACCCACTGTTTATGGAGTTAGACACCTCTTCGATCAGTTTCTGTTTCTCCTGCAGCTGATGGGTCATGCTCTCCATGTGCTGTTTGTGGTTTCTATAAGCATCTTCAAGGAACTGGTAGCTAATCCAATAAGAACATATTACGTCAGTGGGTACAATACTGACAGTGAACGTGCCTCTTCAACTTGGATATGAGGACGATGTGATTTACAGCAGCAAGCCTAAGACTAACAATGGTTCATTGACACTTGACATCAGGATTTTGTAGTATCAAAATGTATATTAATTTCATGCTTAATCAAATGTCAGGCAGTCAAAGTTATGTTAATCACATTTAACTACGCAGCATTGTTAAAGGAGCTCTATACAATATTAAGAGTGCATGATTCAGAGGTTGTCTGCACACAGTTCTCAACATGAAGGTCCCTCTGATAGCGGCTAGCTGCTAACAATGCTAACAGCATGAACAGTGCAAAAAACGGTAAAGCAAGGTTTATGCTTCTGCGCACCTATGACGCAGAGGGCTTTGCAGAGGCGTTGCGTCCCTCTGCGACCAACAGAGACGAAACATGCACCTCCAAAAAATTGTAACCCCGCGTCGAGGCAAGGCAGACCCAACGCAGACCGCAAGAGCTATGATTGGTCCTTCAAACTACATCATTTCCATCATTCTGCAAGGTTTCACTTCCTGCTACAGTACCGCAAAACTGCCTCGAGCCATTCAACGGGCATAGACCATCGGCGCAGTCGCCTCTCTCTTCGTTGTCATCGTAACATTTGTAATAAGCGCATTTGTTGTTCAATGTCAATCATTTCGAGCTTCAGCAACAGTCTTTCTCTCTTGGTCGCCATCTTCACTTTGACTAGAGCCAAGCCGGAAGATAAACAAACAATGAACGAGCAACGGCCATAGATGTCACAGAGTCTAGGTAGGTATATAAAAAAAACACAGCGCCCCCAAGCGCTTTGGCGGGGAATTGCATAGCGACAGAGACCAATAGGACGCAGAACTGTGATAGGCACACAGCAACTGCGTGCACATTGCGTCAAGTGTACGCAGAAGCATAAAGAAACTTTCATGGTACTGACAGAGCTAACGGTGTGAGCCCTAAAGGGTAGGCGCTTCACTTCTGCAACAACACTGCCCTAATTAGGAATGGACGATATTGGATTTTTTGCCGATATCAGGTATGCCGAGCAACTTATTTGGTCAATAACCAATACCTATTTATCCCGTTTTTTCCCTACCTAATTTTAGTGATTGTCAAGTTTCTTCTGTAGCGGAATCAACATCATATTATGCATAGATTTTCTTATTGTGATGGCCAACCAGCAGATGGAGACATGAAATACAATACTTTTCAATGTACCGACGACATGCCGATATTATCATGCATCCCTAGTTTCAATACCAGTGTTACACACACAGGATTTAGATGCACTGACATGCACGTGCAGCCAGATCGTCTACCACAACAACGAAACGAGGAGCTCTGATTTCAAAACACACAGAGGTAGTGTGACTTCATTTTATGCTCAGAACACCTTTCCACTACTATATCTTCATGTAACAGGCTCAACTATACAGCAGTAATATGTGTAACAAATTCAAATGTGCATTTGTGATATCAAGTATTATAATTACACAAAATTTGGGGGTACCTCCCCTATAAAGGTGTGTCTCCCACCTTACCTCTCCCCTTTTTGCATAGGAGAGGTAAGTGGCATTGCTCTTGTAGTAATTTCCATGTTTTAGTGCTGTTAAGCTATGTTTAGAAGTTCATTTTTTAGCCTATCCCACCTATAAAGGGGTCTCCCGCCTTACCTCTCCCCTTTTGCTGTTGGACTCCATGGGAGAGGTAAGTGACATTGCTCTCGTAGTAATTTCTGTGTTTTAGCGCTGTTAAACTGAAGTTTTTTTAGCCTAAACTTATTGTATAATATGCTAACATATTCCTGTGTCACTTAGTTTGTGCAGGGGCTTGAGTTTATATGGTTGTTACTGTCGGAAGATTTTGTTTTTAACCTCTTCCTGTCAGGTATGTTTTCTGTGTTTTATTGTATTGAATTGAATGTATCATGGCCACCCTTTTGCTGTTGCACTCCATGGGAGAGGGGCTCAAGTTCATATGGTCATAATTGATGGAGGATTTTGTTTTTATCTCTTGCTGTCAGTTGTCAGGAATAAACGGAGATCACCTCCAGAGATATCCACAGTCTTGGCCTCTTCATATCAACACAATGCAGACAACACTAGAGTCCACGGGTTACATTTACATAGCAAATAGTTGGTTTATGAATGCCCTGAATGTCGTATAGTGCTCCGTTAATTGTAATGTCAAACAAAACTGAACCTTCATATGGCATAGGTGTATTATACTATAAATTTTGACTGTACTTGTGGTCCTTGTGCTTCACTAGCTGGCAGTCGCGGCAGGTTAGCAGGTCACAGGTCTCACAGAACAGCTTCAGCAGCTCTTGTTTGTGGATGTCACAGAACATCGGCCTCTGAGCCGACACACCATGGACCTCTGGAAAACAACAAAAGGTTCATCGTCATTCGGCCTTTTCCTCTGTGCAAGTCATTTCTGTTCTTACATGTGACGCCCTTGATAATAACCCTTTGACTTTTGCTTCTTTTCAAACCACACATCTGAAGGTTTTAATTTAATTTGAATCGTGCAGCACTTAATGAGCAATGTGTTCCATTATTTAACTTAGTGTGAAGGTTTCATTTGCTCCAATTACCACAAAATTGCTTTTATTCCGGGTAAGATGAAAAATTTCGTTGTACCATCTGGGCCATTAAAAATAATAAGTTTCACCATTCTTGGTGGATAAGCGTAAAGGTTACTTCAAACAACATTAGTCAAGAATGTAAAATGTTGCTGCAGGTGCCAAGGTGATTCGATTTTTGACACACTGAATGCTGGGTCATGTTTAGTGGACTGTTCTAGAAGAAAAGGTGTTCAGTTTTTATGCATTTACCCCTAAAAAAAAAAAAATCTGTTATAAGTTTAATACAAGAGCCAGAGCAAAGTGTGACATCTGCAGCACTGAGCTTATAATAGCTCTTTTCTTTGTCATGGAAACACCACGAGTAATTCAAAGAAGAGAAAACTGAAATCACTGGTGAGAATACCTTGTGATACTTCGGCCTTCTGTCTGATGGTGTGGTCTTTGGTAAATTTGACTCTTTGGTGGGCCTCCACACAGGTGACACAGAGGTACTCGACACAGTCCACACAAAAGCCAGCAGCTTCAGTGTTGTCATCACAGGTCATACAGAGCTGCAGGTAGACGAGACATGCATCAGAGGATGATACATTTTTGGTGGGCAGGTAACATGTTGGAGAGATGCTGGGCCTCATTTGATAGATCCAATCAGCAAAGATAATGTCAGGGTGGGGCGATACAACAAGTATATACGATATATCAATATATTTTCAAGCAAGATATAAATTTAGACAATGTTTATATCAATATACTTTCAAGTTGTGTTACATACCAGTGTGCATCTCTCCTCTCTCACACTCTCTGCACAGCTCCACCCCACTCATTCACTCACAGAGACACAGAGTTGTTCCTCTGTTTAACCTGTCTGTTAATTGTCGGTCTATATGTTGCATATGCTACACTAAATTTACTTTTTTGCACCAGGTTGGACCCCTTTTGCCTTCAGAACTGCCTTTATTCTTGGTGTCATAGATTCAACAAGGTGCTGGAAACATTCCTCAGAGATGTTGATCCATATTGACATGATGACATCACACAGTTGCTGCAGATTTGTCAGCTGCACATCCATGATGAGAATCTCCCGTTCCACCACACCCCAAAGGTGCTCTATTGGACTGAGATCTGGTGACTGTGGAGGCCATTGGAGTACAGTGAACTCATTGTCGTGTTCAAGAAACCAGTTTGAGATGATGTGAGCTTTGTGACATGGTGTGTTATCCTGCTGGAAGTAGCCATCAGAAGATGGGGACACTGTGGTCATAAAGGGATGGACACGGTCAGCAACAATACTCAGGTAGGCTGTGGTGTTTAAACCATGCTCAGTTGGTACTAAGGGGCCCAAAGTGTGCCAAGAAAATCTCCCCCACACCATTACACCACCAGCAGCAGCCTGAACCGTTGATACATGGCAGGATGGATCCATGCTTTCATGTTGTTTACACCAAATTCTGACCCTACCATCTGAATGTGGCAGCAGAAATCCAGACTCATCAGACCAGGCAACGTTTTTCCAATCTTCTATTGTCCAGTTTTGGTGAGCCTGTGTGAAATGTAGCCTCAGTTTCCTGTTGTTAGCTGACAGGAGTGGCACCTGGTGTGGTCTTCTGCTGCTGTACGGTCTGAACTTCAGCAGGTCGTCTTCACCATGTCTACATGCCTATATGCATAAAGTTGCTGCCACGTGATTGGTTGATTATCCATTTGCATTAACAAGCAGTTGAACAGGTGTACCTAATAGTGTATATCCGCCTGTAAATACCTAGACATGAATTTTTGTCCATATGACCCAGCCCTATGTCAGAGTAAATGAAAGACATATTGAAGTACCGACACCTGTGAAGTGAAAAGAACCTCAGTTTTCCCACTTCAAATCCTCTCTTGCTCATCATGTAGGAATGTAACAGCCCTGACTCAAACTAGTAACAACGCTGCCCCCATATGGTTATGCATTTTGTCACTAACCTGCACCGTCCTCTCCACTGTGCTGCTGGGAGCTTCAACTGAGTCCTTCACAAAGGCATTCTCCATCACATCTACCTCCATGCACTCCTGCCTGCACACCGGACAGCGGATCACATTCACTGAAATGAAACAGAGTCACACATGTGGGTCAAAATCAGCAACACTGGACATGCATGTGCTTTTATTGATGACATAACTGACACATGACACCAGATATTTATAGTCTGATGTATGCACTTAAGCCTTACAGAGCCACACTGACTGCATGCAGGGAGGGTGATACCCTTTAATCGATCCATGGTCATTGTTTGTAAACAAAGTGACTCACGTGGTTTGCTCGCGCTCTCAACCTGGGAGTTTGGCGGCTCTGCCATGGCCAGATTCCTGGATGGTGAAGGCAAGCATTTCTTGCAGAAAGAGTGCAGACACGGCAGAAGTTTGGGCTCTCGGCTGTGAAAGTTCAGGTGGCAAACGGGGCAGGTGTCCAGGTAATTCCGACCGGTCACACCGGACTTTTCCTCCTGCACTTGCTTGCTCTCCGCTTCGTTCCCAACGACGATGGCAGCAGCGGCAGCGGCGGAAGCAGCAGCAGCAGCAGCAGCAGCACCATCCCCCGGCTCCTGCTTCTCTGTGCGTCCGTCCATTTGCTCCACTTTTATCCTCCGAGGCTGTTTCTCTCTGTGTTTACGAGATGTAGGATATCCACACAGGTGAGGTCATTCTCCTCCGACATTTCGCATCTTCTCACACCTCAGTCCGTGTTTCACACACAGCGCTGCTCACACAGAAACAAATCTGATAACATGGTTGTAAAACGACAGAATACCGAGCGGAGCACAGACCTGTAGCCCCACAGATAAATACACAATAGCTCCGTGTGACGGTGTCGTGCTGCAGATGTTGTGAGGTGAGATGTAAGATGTTGCTCAAATTGCACCGCACGCGCTCGTTGCGGCACGAGAGGGGTGGGGTCAAACTGCGCGCGCTCTTACAAGAGGGACAGTGTGTGAGTGATGGAGGACAAACTGCACCCGTCACAGGCTGTTAGTAGGTACTCCTAAAGTAAGTGCGTTACTAAACAGTTACCTTTTTATCAATTAATATATAGTTAATTTGACTGATACTGCGTTACATTTGTGTTGACGTTACTTTTCATCGTGTCACATCCGTCTGACCTGAAAACCAAGCCAGTTTTGAACCTACATGGCATCACCTCTAGCCAACCAAAACGTGTATGTGCACAGAGAATCATTCATTTTAAACGTTTCCATTCTTTAGGGGCCGCAAATTAATAGATTCATTATTTCTTAATGAAAATAATGATTTGTATCAGCATCATGCCTAAAGATGGGTACACTGCAAAATGTAGTGGCATTGTAATTACATTACACTACACTATGATTGACTGGGTATGTTTTATTCTATTTCATTTAATTTAATTTTGTCAGTGAGACACAAGGGCGGATCATGAGACAATGGGCCCCGGGCACAGATATGCAAAGGGCCCCACCACCTCTCCTATACAGGAGTGAGACACACAGACTTCATGGTTATTTCTGTATCTCCTTGTAGTTTGTGGTCACTAGCCATGTTTCCATCAGCCTGTTTAGATGCGCATCTAGAAGTATAGCATGGGAAAATTATGATGGAAACGCCAAAATTCGAATTAAAATCCCCTGATTCGCACAAACTAAAATACGCTCGCTTTAGCCGGTCGAAAAAATGTTGATTTGCAAAACAGGGGATGGAAACAGTTATGTTCGAATTAAGTCTGACGTAGCGCACCTCTCTCCATGGTGATATCCACACTCCGGGTCGGGAAGGCAGTAATGCATTTACAAGCTGGTTGCCAACCGCCAGAAAACATAGAAGAAGAATGTGAGACTTGTTTTGTTTCTGGTTCTGCAGAAAACTCGTGCAAGTTCGTAGTTTTCACCAAAGTCCGTACATTTAATGGAAACACACAGGATTCGTATTTCTTTTAATGCGCATTTCCCAATGATTCGAATCACTATTGGATGGAAACATAGCTACAGTGTGTAGGGCTGCCACTAACGATTATTTTCATTGTCGACTAATCTGTCGATTATTTCTTAGATTAGTCGACTAATCATTTCATCGAAAAATTTGTTAAAATGTTGAAAAATGTCAGTCTGTCTCGCCCAAACCCCAAAATTACGTCATCTAATGTCTTGTTTCATACTCACACCAAAGGGTTTTAGTTCACTGTCACGGGAGAGTGTGTAAAGCTGCCAATATCTGAACGTAAGAAGCTGCAGTAAGAGTATTTTGGGGTACTTTTGTACTTTTCTATGAAAAATTACTCAAACCGATTAGTCCACTACTAAAATAGTCACCGATTATTTTAATAGTCGATTAGTCATCGATTAGTCGACTAATTGTGGCAGCCCTAATTGTGCGTCTCCTTGTGATTGCTTTGTCTCATTTTGTTGTCATTTGGATCTCTTTGAGGTAATTTTGTGATTTATTGGGATAGTTTTTTTCTGTTTGAGGTACCTTTGTGTCTTTTTGGTGTCTTCTTCTGGATGTTTTGTGTCTTTTTGGTGTCATTTGGATCTCTTTGAGGTAATGTTGTGTTTTACTGAGGTATTTCTTTGTCTGTCTTAAGTAATTTGTATTTGTGGTCATTTTGTGTCTCCATCTGGTTGTTATGTGTCTTTTTGTAGTGGTTTGGGTCTCTTTGTGGTAATGCTGTGTCTTATTGAGTTAATTTATTTGCCTCTGAGATAATTGTCTTTTTTGGTCATTTCGTGTCACTGTATAGTCATTGTGAGTCTCCTTGAGGTTGTTTTGTGTCTCTTTGTGGGCATTGTGTGTCTCCTTGTGGTCGTTTGGGGTCTTTTTGTGGTCGTTTGGATCTCTTTGGGGTAATTTTGTGTTTTACTGGGGAAGTTTTTGTCTGCTTGAGGTCATTTCTGTCTTTTTTGGTCATTTTGTGTCACTTTGTAGTTGTTTTGTCGCTCTTTGTGGTTGTTTTGAGTCTTTTTGTAGTCACTGTGTGTCTCCTTGTGGTTGTTTTGTGTCTTTTTGTTGTCATGTGGTAATTTTTTGTTTTAGTGGGGTAGATTCTTGCAGTTTCTTTGCATCTCTTTGTGGTTGTTTTTGTGTCTCTTTGTGGTAATTTAGATTCTCCTCCTGGTTGGTGAGTGTTAATTTGAGTGACAATTTGTAAATGAAGGCCAGGGGGCCCCCTGACATGTTGGGCCCCTGGGCCTGTGCTCAGTAGGCCTGTTCAATAATTCATCCATGGTGTGACATGGGACAAACAGGTGACACAGGTGAAGTATAGAGACACAAGATGTAAGACACAGACGTATTGATTTGAGTATTGTACCGATTTTGTGTTGTTTCTGTTAGTGGGAGCGTTGTTAATGTTTGTGTGCATTTATGAAAGTGTGTTTAATGAGTGTGTCATATATTTATAAATGAAAAACAGTATGTGTGCAGGAATGTGCAGATATGTGCAAGGAGATGGAGGAGAACAAGAAAACATAAAATAAATGTCAGTAATAATAATTATTATAAGTAAGTTCAACTACACTACATAAATAAATAACAATAATTAGAAAAAAAGAAAAATTATAGAAAACAATGAATCAATTAAGGAGTTCGGTGTAGCCTGAAAAGGAGGCGTCCAGGAAGAGCTAATGGAGGTCATGTTTTTTTAATGTGTAATGCAATAATGCTGCACTATCACATCCATTGTGATCATCACTCAGTTTGTTAAAGTAACTTATATTTTGTTCATGAAATCATTAAATTAGATTATTTTGGTACAGATTTCAATTATGCACAGCCTATTTAAACTGCTATAATAACAACAATAACAGCGTGACCACATAGTTGTTATCACAGTATGTTCAGACGCTGGATAATATTTACATAAGATTATGAGTAGAGGGTAAACATTACAGTTTACTACTGCAATTAACACTTTGTCTTCATTATTTTCTCTCATGCGAGGAAAACACCTGTGAGACAGCACAATGTGCCACAAGTCCATCATGGCGGTCAGGGTTCAAGGTTCATGGTCTTTCACAGATAAACAGCCAGGCTGTAGAGAGCTTTAGTTAATCAGATATTTTCACACACATGAATCTGACAGCAGAAAGCCACAGAATCCCTCTCAGCGATGGGAACCATATTCCATTGCTGGGATTGGGCACCTATGGGGATCCTCGAACGGTGAGAAGAATTACATCTGTGTGTTTGTTGATTAGTATGCGAGCTCAGCTTGTTTATGACTGCTTCACCTTCACGATGTAGGAGTGCAGTGTGGAGACTGAATAAACATTAACAGCAGAATGTGAGCATTCATTGACCATTTGAACAGGAATGCACGTTAGCACAAACTGCAGCATGACATAGTCTACACCAGGTTAAATAATATTTACATTTTCTGTGGTGTTACGACAGACACGCAAAGGCACAGCATACGAGTGTGTCAAGTTGGCCATAGATGTGGGTTACAGGCACTTTGATGGGGCATTGGTGTATTTCAATGAGCACGAAGTGGGTCGAGCCATTCGAGAGAAGATTGCTGATGGAACCGTTCAAAGAAAGGACATCTTTTACTGCGGAAAGGTAATACGTCCTGTCAAATATCAGGCATTTTATATGTCTTAATTTCATGTGATTGTTTTCTGATTTGTTCTCTGTTATCTTCCTCAGCTCTGGAATACCTTCCATCCACCAGAGCTGGTGCGACCGGCCTTGGAGAGGACACTGAAAGCCTTAAAACTAGACTATGTGGATCTCTACATCGTTGAGCTTCCTATGGCCTTCAAGGTTTCTAAACGCAGTACACAAATAGATTGCAGTTCACTTATTAGCCAGCCACTGAGTGCCTGAACTTTGCCCAAAGATATGGCGTATTCGTTGTGTTTAGTTAGGATAATGCTGTCATTGATTTATCCTGTCAAGCAGGATGTTTTGAAGTTCGAAGATACTTCAGTTTCAGAAAAAGTCCTGATTGAAAACTATTTGAAATAAAAGAAAGAATTAGAAAGGATAGCAACACAAACCTAGAAACACATCTGTATGTTGTTTCACAATCTAACAGACAGTTTTTTATTTTTTAACTTAAAGCTCCAGTTGGTAACTTCTATGTAAATAAACTTTTTTCATATTTGCTGAATTTGTCACCACATCCTGACAGTAGTTCATTAAGACAGATACTCTATTGAAAAAAATCATGTTCCTCTGCCTTCTTCTAGTAGTCCTAAAGGCATTTGCAAGAATCTATCAAGCCTCAATTGAAATAACCAATCAGAGCTGAGGAGTCTCTCTGGCCAGCAGGCGGTTCTCATTTTACTGCTAAACAGTACACTAAAATATGTTTCTAGAACAGCTGCATGAGAGACCCCCCGACTCTGATTGGTTGTTTTCGTTCAGGCTTGATAGATTCATGCAAATGCCATTTGGAAGCACCATTTATCAGCGATAAGTTTGTTTTATTGTTAGATTGTATGACTTGCTTGTGTAATGTTGAAGAGGTCGTGAGGTATGTGTTATACTGTATATTTTGACCTCTGTGAATGGTAATATTGGTCCTTTGCGACTACCATACATATGTGACAAATGAAAAGCAAGTGAAGCTTTTATTGTGAAAATGCTGACTTTGAGAAAATAAACAAAGACTGCAGAGCAACACAGTTGTTTTACCGTTTGCTCGTTTGTTTGTTGGCATTGCTAC